CTAGGGCCGAAACGTCAGCCTCTCTGCTCCTATGATGCTGCTTGGCCTGCTGTGTTCATCCAGCCCTGCACCTTGTTGTCTCTTTAAACTTCCACAGCCTGTTTCTTGCTGTTTCAAACAACGTGCCTTTACCCACATTGATATACTTCAGTATTGCCTCAACTTTTATCTCCCCGTACCTGAAATGTCCTCCCTCTGTTAGCTTAAAGCCCTATTCTGATGATATTTTCACTCTTATGTTCTGTCCTACTGGCAACCATTACCCATTTTACTACCTTGCTAAATTGCCTTGTCGTTCCTAACTTTCCAAATCCTCCCTCATGTGACACCACTCTCCTCACATCAGTAACAAATCATCAGGTTCCAGGTTTGTCAGGGAGATTCATGGGGGGTGGCGGGGGGGGGGGAACTGGGACTCAGTGGTTAGCAATGCTGCCTCACAGTGCCAGGGACCTAGGTTGATTCCACCCTTGGGCGACTGCATGGAATTTGTACATTCTCCAAGTGTCTGTGTGGATTTCCTCCTGGTGATCTGATTTCCTTCCACAGTCCAAAGATGTGCATGTTACATGGATTGGCCATGGAACTTGCAGGGTTACAGTGATGGGGTAGGGGAGTGGGTCTGGGTGGCATGCTGTTCAGAGGGTTGGTGTGGACTCAATGGGCCAAATGGCCTGCTTCTGTACTATAGGGATTTAATGATTCTTCTATGACTTTTTTTAATGCTGATATTTTCTTTGTTAGTTAGTTGTGGATATTAATCTTGGTATGTCAATTTTCCACCCCAGTACAATATTTCTTCTTTGAGATTTCTGACATGGTGACCCCTTGTCCTTACAACAACGGGTGCTGAAGTTAAGTGCCACTACAGAACTGACCTGCCATTCGCACCTCCTAACATATCTTTTATTTTTTCACATTTCATTTTACCCCTCCCTTTGGCCATGTAACACGAAACCTGTTTTCATTTAATCTCTCCTACCTGCCATCCAAACACAGCACTTCCCTTTTGTTCCAACACCAGCCTCTCTGCCCTGTCGTTAACTTGGTCAAAACCTACTGGATTTCTAACAAACATCAGTTCTGATCAAAGGTCACAGACCTGAAACGGTAACTCTGTTTCTCTCTGACACATGCTGAGGACTTCCAGCATTTTCTGACACAACAGAAAATAATGGACGTGGTGACTCCACAAAATAGGTAATCTTGTGATTAAACTTTCAATCTGGAAATCATCTGCATGAGCTTGTCCTGACCATAAAATTTGATTCTAGACTTCACAAAGAACGGTAACAGGCCAGGGTGACGAAAATACTTCAAATATTACCTTCGGGTTCAAGTGACAACTGATAAGCCTTATACTCTGAATTGCTTGAGAAGGAAACTGTTCATTTCTAACTATCCCAACCTCTCATTACACATTATATAAACAAGACCGTGTGCAGGCTAGTAACAGCACATAAAATACCAACTGACCTCCACTGGAGACATTCCCCACGGGTATGGATTCTGCTTGAAGCTGATCAGATGACTTATGATGCAACTACTTCTTTCATCAGAAATCTGCTTATCCAGAAGATCAGGAAGATAAAACTTCACAGACTGTGTACTTTCAACGGCGTTCTGAAAACCATAGTTTTGAGTGGTCCGAAGCTCCATTAAGTTGGTGTTCATGTAAAACTGTGATTGATTGTTGATTAACACATACCTCTGAAAGATAAAGTTTTAAAGTTCTTTCATTGAGTTCTTTCAACTCCAAAATGAATCAAACCCTCAGAGTTTGTCGATTATTTTGGCAGATTTCCACTTTAGTCGTGGCTGACCTGACTAAAGAATGACTACAGATTTTAGGGGTTGGCATGATAAAGTGTAATTCCAGTTCATGTATAACACATTTTAATAAGCCCTCTATGGCTATGGGTGCAGGAACTTATATTGGACATTGTGGGAATTCAAACATGCAAATTTGAAGGAAAGAATTTGTCTTCTTCAATAACAAATGATGATAAAATACTGAAGTATCTTGAAAAGGTTTGATAAATTAAAATGTTAGAAATTATAACTTCCAGCAAACCAAGAGAGTGAAAAAGTAATAGAACAAGTATGGGCCCCTCAAATCCAGTCTTCCATACACAGGCAATTTTCAATCCAAAGCTTATGCTTTGAAATGCTTCTCTCTACTGTCCTTAAATAAATCAGTCTAAACCTCAGAGCATAAAAAATTAACATTTAGAGACATAAAGGACTATAGCACAGAAAAGGGCCCTTCAAACCATCAAGTCTGAGCTGGCCAAAAAGAAGCACCTAGTTGTGAATCATTTCTGCACTCTCTCAGGTCCCTTCACATCCTTTCTGAAGTGTGGCACCCAGAATTGGACACAAAACTCCAGCTGGTGTTTTGTAAAAGTTCAATATAACCTCCTTATTCCTTATCATGTCATCAAAATGCCACACATAATGAAGTCTTGTAAATAGGATGAAAGGATTTATAAATGGGAACTCTGTATAGATGGAAGGGTTTTGCAAAATACAGGTGAATAGATTAATTACTTGGGCATGGTTTAGTTCATCAAACTCTCTAAGTCTGCAGCTGATACAAGCAATGCAAAAAGTGATTCAATAGCATTTATATTTTAGAGGTAATTGGGCTAAAGATAGATTATAGGGGTATTGCTCTGTTGCTAAAAGAATGTTATGTGGAGGCAAAGAGTTAAAGGAAGGAAGTGTGTGTTAAATAATGTAATATGGAGATTCTTAAAGACAGCAATGAGAGCCGTGGTGGATATTTAATGAATTCATTGGTGTCATGCTGACTTGCAATATTAATGATAAATGAATTATTGCCATGATTTGGTGGGGTATGGTGTGAGAACCAATCCTTTGTGCTGTCAGTGTATTAGGTGCTGATCTTATGACATTTGGAGAATTACATCCATCTCTGTTCAAAGAAAAATCTGTTTTGAATGATGTATGGAGATAAACAACAATAATTTGACTGTTCTTAAGGGAAAAAACAGGGACGGGGGACATGGCACCCCATAAAATCCAGTCCTTAGTCTTAGATTCCACAGTAAGCATCATACAATTGAGTTGCAGGCTTCTCCCTGATACGTTATTGAACATCACAGACAGGGTTGGTGTGCAGGATCATAAGGAGAAGAGAGAGAAGACAGATAGGTGCAACCAAGTCTTCATTGTTCAGCGGATGGAAACTTCCAACCGGATTGAAGAGACCCATTTAATGAATGTTTAAACAAATCCAATTTGCTCCAATTCATCCCTCACAGTGAAAGTCAGTTCAGGTAGTAGAAGGGGATCCAGTTCCAACAGGAAAAGGTTGCTCAGTGTGACAATACTATGGCTTTAAGAGGTGCATTTCGTCCTTTTTTTTGAAGACAGGTTGAGACAGGAGTGCCGAACGGCACGTTCCAAGACAAAACAGTAAACAGCTTGTGAGGCCTTGGGTTATTTTTAAAATGTTGGAACAATAAAAGCAGCATGAATGGGAGAGTCAGGCTCCCACAGAACCAGGGATATGTTTAGCTTTCAGTAGTTGTTGGGGTTTCAAAGTTGCCATACATCTTTCCCTGCTACAGCAAAACGCTCAAATTCTCTCTCTCTCTACCAGAATTTTTGAGGTTCTTTGCTCCTGGACTGGAGAACCATTACATGGGTGACAATCTATTTTACTGAACTTACCTTTGCCCAGGGTGTGTTTATGGTATATAACACTATTGGAAAAGTTGCTGTTTAGTAGTTACATAATCTATTATTTTGTTAGTTTTCTAATAGAGTTAAAGTTATATCAATTCTCCTTTCAGTATATGTATTTTAACTATAGAGTAAGTATAAAGTACGTTTTGCTTAAAGCCGAATAGCGTAAACAATCGATTTACATCTCGAACAAAGCACCTTACACTGGCCTTTCCATCAAATAAAAGTTAGGGTCTAGGCTATCTCCTTGATATATTTGAAGGGGGTTTGGTCTGGTCCAAAGCATGGGAATAGCTTTGGACTGATTCCTGGAGGATGAAGTGCTAACGTAAGGGATAGAATAAAGTACAATGGCGAGAGAGTTTTGATTGAGATACTTGTTAAATAGGAGTTCTTTTTGTAGTTTAGAAGATAAGTTGCTACTATCAGCTTGTTTGTTACAGTCTTAAAACTTTATACCTAATCATGTGATCTTTTCAATCATTCCTTTTAAAGGTTTTCAGTCCAAGTATTGTTGCAGTGCAAAGCTAAATGTTTCAGCTGCTTTTGAAACTCAATCGAGCATTCATAACTTTGTTAAAACCAACCATTACAACTCCAAGCAATGTAACCAAAGCTGAAAAAAAACAGCTCTTTTCCCCATTTCAAAGCAAATGGTTTGACAATCTGATAATTCCAGACACAGGTAGCTGTGTTCTTGGTTCCCACTCAAAAGTGGGATTCTCCATGTTTTAAGGCACCTCTGGTGTGTCTTGAACCACACCTACTTCCACAACGGGACAGACTCCATCAAAACTGTGGAGGGGTTTAACACCTAAAACGGAGGTGGCAGGGACATTTTGGAATGCGAGCTGGTTACCCACAAATGGGATTGGTTAGCTCAGTTGGCTCAATGTTTGGTTTGTGATGCAGAGTGATACCAACAATGTGCGTTCAGTTCCTGCAACGGCCGAGGTTACCATGAAGGAATCTCCTATCTCAAACTCTCACCTGTCTGAGGTGTGGTGACCCTCAGGTTAAACCATCACCAATTGTCTGTCTCCAATGAGAGAGCAGCCAATGATCCACTAGGACTATGGCAAATTTATTTACATTTATCCCATGCTGGCAAAAAATTGCTGAATGGGAGGTGGGATGCGAGGACAGAATTCCAGATTCTGGGAAGGCCCTACTCAGGAAAATCCTCTAAATGCCACAACTACTTCCTGTAACATCTTTCTTTCAATTTCACTTAGGCACCTGGCTGTTAGGAACACCATGCTTTGACTCAATATTATTTTACGTCTCACTATTATCATAAATGTCTGGATAGAAACTGTCCCGTCAAGCAGACACAGATGGGTTCATGAAAGGCAGATCATGTTTAATTAATTCACTGGAATTCTTTAAGGATATGATGAGCACGATGGACAATGGGGAGCCAGTGGATGTGGTGTATCTGGATTTCCAGAAGGCATTCAACAAGGTGCCACAAAAAAGGCTATTGCATAAGACAAAGGTGTGTGGCATTACAGGTAATGTATTAGCACGGATAGAGGATTGGTTAACTAACAGAAAGCAAAGAGTGGGGATAAATGGGTGTTTTTCTGGTTGGCGATCAGTATCTAGTAGTGTGCCTCAGGGATCAGTGTTGGGATGACAGCTGTTCGCAGTTTACGAAGATGATTTAGAGTTGGGGACCAAGTGTAGTGTGTCAAAGTTTGCAGATGACCTAAAATAAGTGATAGTGCAAAGTATGCTGCAGACAATGAAAGTCTACAGAGGGATTTAGATAGGTTAAGTGAGTAGCACAAGGGTCTGGCAAATGGAATACAATGTTGGTAAACGCGAGGTCATCCATTTTGGTAGGAATAATAGCAAAATAGACTACAATTTAAATGGTGAAAAATTGCAGCATGCTGCTGTGCAGAGGGACCTGGGTGTCCTTGTGCATGAATCACAAAAGGTGCAGCAGGTAATTAAAAAGACAAATGGAATTTTGTCCTTCATTGCTAAAGGGATGAAATTTAAAAATAGGGAAGTTATGTTGCATTTCTGAAGAAGGGTCCTGACCCGAAATGTCAACTTTCCTGCTCGTCTAATGCTGCCCTGGCCTGCTGTGTTCTTCTAGCTCCACACTGTATTATCTCCAACTCCAGCAGCTGCAGTTTTTACTATCTCTGAGGTTATGCTGCAGCTGTAAAGGGTGCTGATGAGGTCACATATGGAGTACAGTGTACAGTTTTAGTCTCCTTACTTGAGAAAGGTTGTACTGGCACTGGAGGGGGTGCAGAGGTGGTTCACAATGGTGATTCCAGAATTGAGAAGGTTGGCTTATGAGGACAGATTGAGCAGACTGGGACTGTATTCATGGGAATTTAGAAGAACGAGGAGGAATCTTATAGAAACATATAAAATTATGAAAGGACGAGATAAGATAGAAGCAGGGAGGTTGTTTCCACTGACGAGTGTAACTAGAATTAGGGGGCATAGCCTCAAATAAGGGGGAGCAGATTAGGATGAGTTGACAAAGAACTTCTTCATCCAAAGGGTTGTGGTTCTGTGGAATTCTCTGGCCAGCGATGCAGTTGAGGCTACTTCGTTGAATGTTTTTAAAGCAAAGATTGAAAGATTTTTGAACAGTAAAGGAATTAAGGGTTATGGTGAGCAGATGGGTAAGTGGAGCTGAGTTCACGAAAAGATCAGCCATGATCTTATTGAATGGCAGAACAGGCTCAATGGGCCAGAAGGCCTACTCCTACTCCTATTTCTTATGTTCTTAATTTCTTATGAATTTCATCCCTGCATCCTTAAATACTATTCTCTACACGACTCCTCTATCACAATGATTTCTGCTGCCTTTGTTCTCATTTTAGTCGTCCAGAATTATTGCCATTTCAGCTTATTTAACATTTCCTTAAACATTTCTGGAAATTTTGTGAAATGTACTTTGAAACTCAGCATTTCCATCATTCCTTTCTGTAGTACTTTCACTGTCAGAATCTGGAGAAGTGAAATTGTTAAAACATATAATTTCCTGTCGATTCCATGATTTTAAATTGCAAGAAGGGAATTCAACGATCAAACAAGTATAACGCAGGAAAATGATCTTGTAATGTCTAAATAAAAATAAAGCTATTAAATTGTTAACATTGCCAATCATCAAGCAATAAAAATATGTATCCAGTGAACCAAATGTGTGGAACAAAAACAGAAGTAGCGGGAAAAGCTCAGCAGATCTGGCAGCATCTTTGAAGAAAAAATCAGAGTTAATGTTTCAGGTCTGGTGACCCTTCCTCGGAACTGGCACAGTTCCGAGGAAGGTCACCAGACCCAAAACATTAACTCTGATTTTTTTCTTCACAGATGCTGCCAGACCTGCTGAACTTTTCCAGCTACTTCTGATTTTGTTCCTGATTTACAGCATCCACAATTCTTTTGGCTTTTATTTATACCAAAAGTATGGTTTCATTAAGATATAATAGGAGGAGAAATAGTGAAATAACGAAGCATTCATGTGTTAATTCATAAATAATTCAGAAATTGGTACAAAGGAAATATTGTAATGGAGGATAGATCATTTCAAAGATCTAATTTATGTCGATGCTTATTCAAAAAATACAGTGTGCAAATAATGAGGAAAAGCAACTGTGTTGTAATCCTCAACAACCCTAAATCTATAAAACAATCTTGTTTTATTTGCTATAGATCTTACCAATAACAGTTCAGTCGTTGCTCCCAAACCTTCAAATAGCAAACTCTTCGATGTTGCTGCACCGTTGTCAGTTACACCCATTACATCAGTAACCAAAAAGACTATTTTCTTCACCAATTCTTCATGCATTCTGAACTCTCCAGAATCATTAAATAGTTTGATCATGTTTTTGACTGCTCTTGTAACAATTAATGCACTTTCCAAAGTTACCTTTAATATTTTAAAACAAAAAGTATCACTGAATTAAAGAACAAACATTATAATTTTTGAGTTTTTTTTAGAAAAATTAATAATATTTCAACATATTTATATGTTCCCAAAGTTATGTAATTATTTTAAGAAATATTAATTATGGAAAGAAATCAGTAACAATAGACAAATTGCTGCAGCCCAACCATATCATTCCAAAGGCTCACTCAGTCCTCCTTCTGACTTTTGCTTACCAGTCAATTAAAGAGCTACACAAGAGCACAGTGAATGGTGCAGTCAACAGTAGCATTTACCAAGTAGGTTTCTCCAATGATAAAATGATAAGCAACTGCATTATCTATGATGTAGCTGAATCTGTTTTTGGGACCAAGCTTCATCGTTAGGTGAAGACGGGATCAGACTGGCTATGATGGTATCATCTTTGGAACAAATCCACAAACACTGAGGCACAGAAGGAGAGTCTTAAAGTAGAAAAGCGAGATAAAAAGCAGAGAAATGTAGGAAGTGTATTCCAGACCTCGAAACCCAAATGACTGAACTCACCAATGGTGGCATGATTAAAACTGGGGACACAATTAGAGAAGTGTGTATGTCTCAGAGGGCGGTAGAAGTAGAGGGAATTAAAGAGGAGAGTAGAGGCACATGGTCATGAGACATATGAAAACACAGGGTAAAAATTTTAAAATCAGGAGTTTGCTTTACTCGGATCCGATGTTGGTCCACAAGCAAAGTGATGGCTGTGCAATGAGATTTGAATATGAGTTAAGAACGGACATCTGAGTTTTGGGTGACCTCTGGTTTACAGAAGATAGAATGTAAGGGACTAGCCAGGAGTGCAGTGCGATAGGCAAGTCTAGAGTTAACAACTGTATGCATGAGAGTTTCAGTAACAGATGAACTGAGGCTGGGGTGATGTTGGGCAATGCTCCATAAGAAGTCGTGAGAATAAACCAGAGATAACAATTATTCTCTGATCAAAAATACAGCTTGTCAAGTGGATAAAAGCTCCTGTACCTCATCAGTTATATTAACAAGGTCATGCAATACAGATACCGTTTCCATGAGCTCCCTCTGAAATGAAAAAGAGAAGATCAAGCTTATACTAAATGTGTCAATAGTAAACCAAACCTGAATTCTTTAACTCCAATCAACAAACGCATTAACAGTTCTACTTTGGACAGTTAGGAGAATTAACATGTAAACTGATTCACTTCAATTATTTTCCTACTTCTTAAAAATAATCATTTGCCCATTTTATTTTCCTGCTCTAGATAGTTGTTTGTTTGTTTGCTGGAATGCAGGTCTACAGTATCTCACTTTAGTCATATGTAACTGTGAGAGGGGGACAAAGAGCTTAATGCTATGTTTGCATAGGACTGAGGCCTTGCCTTAAAGCAGGGCAGAAGACACCACTTCTTGCATTGACTATCATCATCCTGTTTAAGATCAAATAAATGAGTGTTTATGAAGTGTTGAACCCAAAGCCACATATTGAAATTAGATTAGTTACAGAAACAATAATCAATGATAGAGTGCAGAACAAGTCTTAGAAAAAGTCCCAATAATAACGTGACTATCAGGAGATCGATCTTGCTAAAAACAGAAAATTCACAGCAGAGAATAAGGCTATTCAATCATCATGTCTATGCCACCTGAAAATGCAATCAGCCAAATCTCACTTTCCAGTTCCTCATCCACAGCCTTACACATTACGGCACTTCAAATGCACTAAATTTACCTAAACGTAAATTTAATTTAATTTCAAATGTGCTGAGGATTTGGACCATTCCTGACCTTTCAGACGAGTTCCAACTCCAACTGCCCTCCTGGTTTAAAACATTCTCGACTCCCTTCTGACCTTTCTGCCAAGTACTTAATATCTTACACCTTTCCCCCAGTGCTGCATTACCAACTCTTTTGTCATGGCTTCTTGAAAAGGGTATCGTGTCTGATTAATTTATTAAGGGGTTTTCAAGAAAGTCTCAACCAGAGTGGATAGAGAAGAAACAGTAGATGTATTACAAAGAACAAAGAATGTTACATCACTGGAAGAGGCTCTTCGGCCCACCAAGCCTGCACTGACAGAGGTGACAAAGAAGATTGACGAAGGCAGATTGGTAGATGTTGTTTATATGGACTTCAGCAAGGCATTCAACAAGGTTCCACATGGTAGACTTGTTGGTAAGGTTAGACCATATGGGATCCAAGGGGAGCTAACCAGTTGGATACAAAATTGGCTCGAAGGTAGGAGACAGACGGTGGTGGTCTGTGACCAGTGGTATGCCACAAGGGTCTACTGCTTTTTGTCATTTATATAAATTATTTGGATGCGAATATAGGAGGAATGGTTAATAATTTTGCAGATGATACCAAATTAGGTGGTGTAGTGGGCAATGAAGAAGATTATCTCAGAGCACAATGGGACCTTGATCAGATGGGCCAATAGGCTGAGGGCTGGCAGATGGAGTTTAATTCAGATAAATGTGAGGTGCTGCATTTTGGCAAGGCAAACCAGTTCAGGGCATATACAGTTAATGGTAGAGTTCTGGGGAGTGTTGTCAAACAAAAAGACCTCAGGGTGCAGGCTCTTAGTTCCTTGAAAGTGGAGTCACAGGTAGACAGGGTAGTGAAGGCGGCATTTGGTATACTTACCTTTATTGACCAGTGCATTGAGTAAAGGAGTTGGGATGTCATGTTGTGGCTATACAGGACATGAGTGAGGCCACTTTTGGAATACTGCATAAAATTCTGGTCATCCTTCTATAGGAAAGATGATGTGAAACTTGACGGTGCAGAAAAGATTTAGAAGGATGGTGCCAGGACTGGAGGGTTTGAGCCATAGGGAGAGGCTGAATAGGCTGGGGTTTTTTCCCTGCAGTGTTGAATACTGAGGGGTGACATTATAGAGGTTTAAAAAATCATGAGAGACATGAATAGGGTGAATAGTAAAATCTCTTCCGAGGATGGGGAAGTCCAAAACTAGAGGTCCATGTTTAAGATGAGAGGGGGAAGATTTAAAAAAGGACTGAGGGGTAGCTTTTTCATGCAGAGGGTGGTGCATGTATGGAACGAGCTGCCAGAGGAAGTAGCGGAGGCAGGTACAATTCCAACATTTATAAGGCATCTAGATGGGTACCTGTATATGAATAGGGAGGGTTTAGAGGGATATGGGCCAAATGCTGGCAAATGGGTCTAGGTCAGATTGGGATGTCTGGTCAGCACAGATGAGTTGGACCGAAGGGTCTGTTTCCATGCTGCATGACTCTATGACTCTCTGACATATGATGTCTTGCTAAACTAAAAACCTTTTGCCTCTACATGGTTCATATTCCTCTATTCCCTGCCTATTCATGTATCTGTCATGATGCTTTTATGTTGCCATTGTATCTGCTTCTGTTGTACTTAGACTTCCAGAAGGCACTTAACAAGGTACTCACAAAAGGTTAAGTCATCAGATAAGAGTCCATGGTGTTGGAGATAGTACATTGGCATGGGTAGAGAATTGGCTAATACAGTAACCAGTGAGTGGGGATAAGGGTTTCTTTTTGAGATTGGTGACCAGTGACAGTGGAGTTCCATAGGGATCAGTGTTTGGACTGCAGCTGTTTACAATGTATATTATTGATTTCGAGGAGGGAAGCGAATGTGCTATAGCTAGATGACAGAAGAATTGGTGGAAAGGCAGGTTGCAAAAGGGATACAAACAATCTACACAGAGATACTGATCAGTTAAGTAAGTGGGCAATAAATTAGCAAATGGAATATAATGTGGGAAAATTCTAAGTTGCTCATTTTGGAAAGGAGCACTAAAGAACAGAGTATCATTTAAATGGAGAAAAACTGCAGACAGCTGCAACTCCGAAAGATTTGGGGGTACTTGTGCACAAAACACAGAAAGCTACAACATAGGTGCAACAGGTAATCAGCAAAGTTAATGGAATGTCATGGAGGTTGGAGTGTAAGAGTAGGGAAGGCTTACAGTAACAGTACAAGGTGCTGGTGTGATTACATCTGCAGTACTGTGAGCAGTTTTGGTCCCCTTATTTAAGATATTATTTCATTGGAGGCAGTTCAGAGAGGTTTCACTGGGATGATCAGTGGGAGAGAAGGATTATCACATGAGCAAATGCCAAACAAATTAGAATTCTACTCATTGGAATTAGAAGAATGAGAGGCGATCTCATTGAGACACAAAGCATTCTTAATGGGCTTCCCAGGGTGAATGTGGAGAGAATGTTTCCACTCATGGGACAGTCTAAAACAAGAGGGCATTGTCTCAGAATTAAGGGCACCAATTTATGACTGAGATAAGGAGGAATTTCTTCTCTCAGAGGAACTCCTTGCCACACAGAGCTGTGGGGGCAGAGTACTTGTGTACATTTAAGGCTGAGAGGGATAGATTCTTGATTAATAAGGGAATCAAGGATTATTGGAAAGGGCAGGAAAGTGAACGTGAGGATTGTCAGATCAGCCAGGATCCTATTGAATGCTGGAGCAGGTTCGGAGGCCAAATGGCCTACTGCCGTTCCTATTTCTTATGATCTTAATTCTTCTTTCATCCATTCTATCGCAGACCTTTCTTTTTATTCATTTTTGCTTCACCTCCCAGTTCATTTGTTCATACATTTCTAACATCTCCCATTTCTGATGAAATGTCACTGAACTGAACCTAATAACACTGCTTGCCTTACCGAATGCATAATTCTTGAAGTTGCTATTGTTTATTTTGGATTTGATTCTCAAGGCTTCCAAACCTCACTGGGAATATTCAGTCACAAAAGAAACACCTACTGACCTTAACCTGCTACCTCCTGACACAAGTTTTAAATCCAACTTGTCATTTTCTCCTGGACTCCCAGAGGATTTTCACTGTTCTGACCAGTCCAAAGCCTTGCGAAAATCTATGTAGGCTTTGAATGCATTTCTTTTATTGGCATTCCTCTTGCCAACTCAAAAATTCAATCACATTTGGCATTCCCTTAATAACTCCAAGAACACTGTCCATGATTAATCAGTGCCTTTGTAAATTACAACTTGTGGGATCTCTCAGAACTTTTTCCAATAATCTGATGAAGTTAATCTGTCTGGTCTCTAGCCCTACTTCCAGACTTCTGGCAACGTGCCTGACAGGATTGGGAATGATGGTCTGAAACTCTGCTATTTCCTCCCTTGCTTCTGTGATACATTTTGTTCAGGTCCAGTGTTTATCTACTGACTGAGTTCATTCTATTCTCCGACTAAATTACCGTGTCTTCATTGTTCTCCCACTGTTGTGAAGATGGATGCAAAGTATTCACAACCATGTCATCATTTACCCCCTTCTCACATGTTATCTTTTTGGTCCTTAATTGACTCTCTTCATTTAGTTATACTCTTGCTCATTGTGTATTTTGACAATATCGTTGGACTGTATCATTGATAGATGAATTGCTTACTCTTTTACTCACTGTATCTTTTTTCTCAAATAAAGAGAACTTTTAAGACAAACCCAAGCAACAAATCAATACTGACAATAGAGATAAAGCAGAGATAGTAGGAACTGCAGATGCTGGAGAATCCGAGACAACAAGGTGCAGGGCTGGATGAACACAGCAGGCCAAGCAGCATCATAGGACCAGAAAGGCTGACGTTTCGGGACGAGACCCTTCATCAGAAAAGGGGGAGGGGAAGGGCGTTCTGAAATAAATAGGGAGAGAGTGGGAGGCGGATAGAAGATGGATAGAGGAGAGGATAGGTGGAGAGGAAACAAACAGGTCAAAGAGGCGGGGATGGAGCCAGTAAAGGTGAGTGTAGGTGGGGAGTTAGGGAGGGGATAGGTCAGTCCAGGGAGGACGGACAGGTCAAGGGGGCGGGATGAGGTTAGTAGGTAGGAGATGGAGATGCGGCTTGAGGTGGGAGGAGGGGATAGATGGGAGGAAGAACAGGTCAGGGAGGCGGGGATGAGCTGGGCTGGTTTTGGGATGCGGTAGGGGGAGGGGAGATTTTGAAGCAAGTGAAATCCACATTGATACCATTGGGCTGCAGGGTTCCCAAGCGGAATATGAGTTGCTGTTCCTGCAACCTTCGGGTGGCATTGTTGTGGCACTGCAGGAGGCCCAGGATGGACATGTTGTCTGAGGAATGGGAGGGGGAGTTGAAATGGTTCACGACTGGGAGGTGCAGTTGTTTATTGCGAACCGAGCGTAGGTGTTCTGCAAAGCGGTCCCCGAGCCTCCGCTTGGTTTCCCTGATGTAGAGGAGGCCACAACGGGTACAGCGGATGCAGTATACCACATTAGCAGATGTGCAGGTGAACATCTGCTTGATGTGGAAAGTCGTCTTGGGGCCTGGGATGGGGGTGAGGGAGGATGTATGGGGGCAGGTGTAGCACTTCCTGCGGTTGCAGGGAAAAGTGTCGGGTGTGGTGGGGCTGGAGGGGAGTGTGGAGCAGACAAGGGAGTCACGGAGAGAGTGGTCCCTCCGGAAAGCAGATAAGGGTGGGGAGGGAAAGATGTCTTTGGTGGTGGGGTCGGATTGCAGATGGTGGAAGTGTCGGAGGATGATGCGTTGGATCCGGAGGTTGGTGAGGTGGTACATGAGGACGAGGGGGATTCTTTTTTGGTTCTTATTGCGTGGACGGGGTGTGAGGGATGAGTTGCTGGAGATGTGGGAGACACGGTTGAGGGCGTTCTCGACCACTGACGGGGGAAGTTACGGTCCTTGAAAAACGAGGACAACTGAGATGTACGGGAGTGGAATGCCTCATCCTGGGAGCAGATGCGGCGGAGGCGAAGGAATTGGGAATAGGGGATGGCATTTTTGCAGGAAGGTGAGTGGGAGGAGGAGTATTCTAGGTAGCTGTGGGAGTCGGTGGGCTTGAAACGAATATCAGTTTCTAGGTGGTTGCTCGAGATGGAGACAGAGAGTTCCAGGAAGAAGAGAGAGGTATTAGAGATGGTCCAGGTAAACTTAAGGTTGGGGTGGAAGGTGTTGGTGAAGTGGATGAACTGTTCGAGCTCCTCGTGGGAGCACGAGGCGGCGCCGATACAGTCATCAATGTAACAGAGGAAGAGGTGGGGTTTAGGGCCAGTGTAGGTACGGAAGAGGGATTGTTCCACGTAACCTACAAAGAGGCAGGCGTAGCTTGGGCCCATGCGGGTACCCATGGCCACCCCCTTTGTCTGTAGGAAATGGGAGGAATTGAAAGAGAAGTTGTTGAGGGTGAGGACGAGTTCGGCTAAGCGGATGACGGTGTCAGTGGAGGGGGACTGGTTGGGCCTGCGGGACAGGAAGAAGCGGAGGGCCTTTCGGCCATCTGTATGGGGAAGGGAGGTGCAGTTGTAGTATGGCGCACTGACCTCTATATCGCCGAGGCCAGACGCCAACTCTCCGACACCTCCTCCTACCGCCCCCTTGATCATGGACAAGGGAGGTGCAGTTGTAGTATGGCGCACTGACCTCTACATCGTTGAGGCCAGATGCCAACTCTCCGACACCTCCTCCTACCGCACCCTTGATCATGACCCCACCCCTGAGCACCAAACCATCATCTCCCAAACCATCCACAAACCTCATCACCATAGGTGACCTCCCACCCACGGTCTCCAACCTCATCATTCCCCAACCCTGCACCGCCCGCTTCTATATCCTTCCCAAAATCCACAAACCTGAATGCCCTGGTCGACCCATTGTTTCCGCCTGCTCCTGCCCCACCGAACTGATCTCCAACTATCTGGACTCCATTTTCTCCCCCTTGGTCCAGGAACTCCCTACCTATGTCCGTGACACCACCTACGCCCTCCACCTCCTCCAGAAGGTCCAATTCCCTGGTCCCCAACACCTCATCTTTACCATGGACGTCCAGTCCCTCTACACCTGCATTCCCCATACAGATGGCCTAAAGGCCCTCCGCTTCTTCCTGTCCCGCAGGCCCGACCAGTCCCCCTCCACTGACACCCTCATCCGCTCAGCCGAACTCGTTCTCACCCTCAACAACTTCTCTTTCAATTCCTCCCACTTCCTACAGACAAAGGGGGTAGCCATGGGTACCCGCATGGGCCCAAGCTACGCCTGCCTCTTTGTAAGTTACGTGGAACAATCCCTCTTCCGTACCTACACCGGCCCTAAACCCCACCTCTTCCTCCGTTACATTGATGACTGTATCGGCGCCACCTCGTGCTCCCACGAGGAGCTCGAACAGTTCATCCACTTCACCAACACCTTCCACCCCAACCTTAAGTTTACCTGGACCATCTCTAATACCTCTCTCTCCTTCCTGGACCTCTCTGTCTCCATCTCGGGCAACCACCTAGAAACCGATATTCATTTCAAGCCCACCGACTCCCACAGCTACCTGGAATACTCCTCCTCCCACTCACCTTCCTGCAAAAATGCCATCCCCTATTCCCAATTCCTTCGGCTCCGCCGCATCTGCTCCCAGGATGAGGCATTCCACTCCCGTACATCTCAGTTGTCCTCGTTTTTCAAGGACCGTAACTTCCCCCCGTCAGTGGTCGAGAACGCCCTCAACCGTGTCTCCCACATCTCCAGCAACTCATCCCTCACACCCCGTCCACGCAATAAGAACCAAAAAAGAATCCCCCTCGTCCTCACGTACCACCCCACCAACCTCCGGATCCAACGCATCATCCTCCGACACTTCCGCCATCTGCAATCCGACCCCACCACCAAAGACATCTTTCCCTCCCCACCCTTATCTGCTTTCCGGAGGGACCCCTCTCTCCGTGACTCCCTTGTCCGCTCCACACTCCCCTCCAGCCCCACCACACCCGGCACTTTTCCCTGCAACCACAGGAAGTGCTACACTTGCCCCCATACATCCTCCCTCACCCCCATCCCAGGCCCCAAGACGACTTTCCACATCAAGCAGATGTTCACCTGCACATCTGCTAATGTGGTATACTGCATCCTCTGTACCCGTTGTGGCCTCCTCTACATCGGGGAAACCAAGCGGAGGCTCGGGGACCGCTTTGCAGAACACCTACGCTCGGTTCGCAATAAACAACTGCACCTCCCAGTCGTGAACCATTTCAACTCCCCCTCCCATTCCTCAGACGACATGTCCATCCTGGGCCTCCTGCAGTGCCACAACGATGCCACCCGAAGGTTGCAGGAACAGCAACTCATATTCCGCTTGGGAACCCTGCAGCCTAATGGTATCAATGTGGATTTCACTTGCTTCAAAATCTCCCCTCCCCCTACCGCATCCCAAAACCAGCCCAGCTCATCCCCGCCTCCCTAACCTGTTCTTCCTCCCACCTATCCCCTCCTCCCACCTCAAGCCGCACCCCCATCTCCTACCTACTAACCTCATCTCGCCCCCTTGACCTGTCCGTCCTCCCTGGACTGACCTATCCCCTCCCTAACTCCCCACCTACACTCACCTTTACTGGCTCCATCCCCGCCTCTTTGACCTGTTTGTTTCCTCTCCACCTATCCTCTCCTCTATCCATCTTCTATCTGCCTCCCACTCTCTCCCTATTTATTTCAGAACGCCCTTCCCCTCCCCCTTTTCTGATGAAGGGTCTAGGCCCGAAACGTCAGCCTTTCTGCTCCTCTGATGCTGCTTGGCCTGCTGTGTTCATCCAGCCCTGCACCTTGTTGTCATAGAGATAAAGCACAGCATTTTGTACTTGGTTTAACAGTGGATACAAACATATAGATAGGAGCAGGAAGAGGCCATTCAGCCCTTCGAGCCTGCTCCAGCATTCATCACGATTGTGGCTGATCGTGCAATTCAATAGCCCAATCCTGCTTTCTCCCCATAATCTTTGATCCCATTTGGCCCAAGTGCTATATCTCACCACCCCTTGAATACATTCAATGTTTTGGCATCAACTACTTCTTGTGGTAATGAATTCCACAGGCCCACCACTCTTTGGGTGAAGAAATGTCTCCTCATCTCCGTCCTAAATGATCTACCCCGAATCCTCAGATTGTGACCCCTGGTTCTGGACACACCCACCTTCGGGAACATCCTCCCTGCATCTACCCTGGTCCAGTCCTGTTCAAATTTTATAAGTCTCTATGAGATTGCCCCTCATTCATCTGAACTCTAGCGAAAACAATCCAAACCTAGTCAATCTCTCCTCATACGGCAGTCTCACCATCCCCAGAATCAGCCTGGTAAACCGCACTCCCTCAAGAGCAAGAGTATCCTTCCTCAGAAAAGGAGACCAAAACTGCACACACTATTCCAGGTGTGGTCTCACCAAGGCCCTGTATAACTGCAACAACACATTCCTGCTCCTGTACTCAAAACCTCTCACAATGAAGGCCAACATAACATTTGCCTTCTTTACCACCTGCTGCACCTGCATGCTTACCTTCAGCAACTGGTGCACAAGGACACCCAGGTCCCACTTCACACTCCCCTCTCCCAATCTACTACGATTCAGGTAGTAATCTGCCTTCTTATTTTTGCTTCCTAGTTAATAACCTCACATTTATCCAAATTATACTGCATCTGTCATTGATTTGCCCATTCACCCAACCTGTCTAGATCATGCTGAAGGCTCTCTGCATCCTCATCACAGTTCACTCCCCTCCACCCAACTTGATATCATCTGCAAACTTTGAGATGTTACATTTTGTTCCCTCATCTAAATATATATTGTGAATAGCTGGGGTCCCAGCACCAATAAATAATTAAACAGGTGACCAGAAGCCAGAAATATGATTCGGGAGGAGCATGAGGCACACACTTACAACTCATCAACATTCATTCAGTTTCTATTGTAAGTTTTGGATTTCAAGTTAAGGCAATAGAAATTTTCATGTCAAATATTAAATTGCTACGTTACGTTAATAGTTATGTGACAATGTGCTTCCTCTCCGTCTGACATACTTACCATAAAAATGTGAAAAATATTTCAATAATACATTTTGCATATGTCATTCTGAAGAACTAGTATCATCCTGGAAAACATTAGTTAAAGAAAATCATACCTGACCAGATATAGTTAGGCTGCAAACAGCTTGAATTAATGCATTTCTTGTCCATTTCTGGAAATCTCTTGCACTATACCCTTCCTTATGGAGACGGTAGAGCACTCTGGTCAGCAATAGAATGTAATTTTTTGTTTCTTTTTGATTTCCCAACAACATGAGAATTGAAAGGTTCTGAAGACCCTGAGTATACCTGAATGAGAAGGAAAATGGTTACTTTTAATGAGTGAATGTCTCAAGGTGATAAATGAATCTTGCATGATTTCTGTAATGAATTATCCTAAACAATTTAGTTTCAGTATTTTGCCAGCATACTGATAACTTAATAAATTAAATATATAAATTCACGATAGGTGTTTTGGAATAAAAAGTCTTTGTAGACGGTTCTGCCATTCAAATTTTCCTGACAAGCATCCCCTTATTAACTGTATATTTATACAGTTGAAAATATGCAAAGAAAATTCCAAGGTCTGCACAGTGCATAAAATCAGGAGTTGGGTGAGTTAGGGAATTTTAAAGGTTAATCTTACTCTAAACTCTCACTTTTGTTTGGATTTAGCAAGCAAACAAAATATTGGTTAAATGAGGTATGTTACTGCTTAATTGAAGTGAGTTAAATTGCTGCCAAACAGGGATATACCAGGAGAGATGGTGGTGCAGTGGTAACGTCACTAGGCTGGTAAACCAGAACCCCAAACTGAGATTCTGGGAACTGGATTTGCATCACTACTATCATGGGAGATGGTGAAACTTAAAAATTCAATAAAGAAAATGTAATTGAAAAGTTAGCTTGTTGGCGACCATGTAACCATTGTGGATTGTTTTAAAAACCTATCTAGTTCACTAAGGTCCTTTATCAGATTAAATCTGCCTTCTCTGCCTGGTCTGGTGTACGTGTGACTCCAGGCTCATTGAAACGTGGTTGACTCTTAACTCAATTAGGAATGGGCAATAAATGCTGGCCTAGCCACTGAAGCCCATGTCCCATGGAAGAAGTTTTACAAAATAAACTCTTTGACTACAGCTGTAACCAGTAAACATGCTGACTAGCTTAAGCTGCAGTTTCTGATTCAATAGAGTTGAGTCACTGTTCATGAAAGTTTAGAAATACGAAGGTTTCTCAGCGCTGCTTGTCAGAACTGAGCATGAGTCAGACAAAGAAAAGAACCATAAATTCATTGAAAAAGTTAATAAATAAACTTAATTAACACAATAAAGTTGGCTAGACAGGTGATGTGTCATAGCTGCAACAGGTGGGAGTTCCTGGATACTAGCCAACCATAGCAACAACAACTATGCACATTGTGTACAACTTGAGGAACTTCAGTTCATTTTTTTTGAGCTGGAGGTTGAGCTAAGACATTGTGATAAATCAGAGAGGGGCAAGTTATCAAGACTTACTTTGTTCCACCCTTCCAGTCTCACCCTTAGGTTAGTCTCGTCTGATTTGATCAGTGGTCAGGGACATAAGGATGTGTGGCTGTGAGTGAGGCAGGTAGGGGGATTGGAAAGGTGAGAGTAGAGAAGTCTCAGGCTTTTTAATTGTCCAACAATTTTGTAGTCAGTATGAGCAAAAGCAAGAACTATATCATCGATGAGCTGAGTGACTGCAACATTGTGGTACAGGAAACCATTCAAGTACAGGGTTGTGGGGGTAGGGGCAGGGTGAGAGGGAACCTATTTAAAATACTAGTAGATGACAGTAGACACTATTCTTCAGCCAAGAATATGAATTTACTCAGCTATGTCCCTGCTCAGTGGAGGGGAAATATCCAGTAGTCATGGTCTATGTAGGTACCAACAAGGGAAAACTAGTAAAAAGGTCCTGCAAAGGCGATATGAGGTGCTAGGCATGATATCAAAATGTAATAACTTCAAAGGTAAAAATCTGGACTCTTACCTCTGCTATCTATAAATTGATATAGAATAAAGAAGATTAGAGAGGTGAAATAAATAGCTCAAAGACAGGCATGGGGGAAGTGGTTTCTGAGTCTTGGGGCAGTGATGCTCAAAATTGGGGAAAGTGGGATCTGTACCAGTGGGATGGATTTCACATGAATAACATAATGATAATTAGTGAGTTGTATCGGTCAGAAGTTGGGAAAACATTAAACAGATGGGAAAGGGATCCCCCACAAGGAGAGATTGAGTATACTAAAGAGAAATGGAAAGGTAGCAATAAAGGTAATTAAAATTAGGCTGTGCCTGCAAGGGACAATGATTGCAAACTTAAAGAGTATATCAGCAGACAGGGCCAGACTTTACAAGAACGGGAAAACAACTGAATTAAGGCCCCTCTACCAGAGTACTGACAGCATTCACAATAATACAAATGGAAATTTACATGTATGACCTGTTTGCCATTACAGAGACATGGCTGTGAGTAAACCAAATCTGGGACCAGAATATGGGGGAGTTAGCTGCGTGGAATTATTTCTACATTCAAGTTCCAGAGACCCAGCTAATGTTCTGGGGATCTGGGTTCAAATACTGCCATGGCAGATGGTGGAATTTGAATTCAATAAAAATCTGGAATTAAGAGCTTAATGATGACTGTGAAATCATGTCAATTTTTGGGGCAAAACCGTCTTGGTTCACTAATGTCCTTTAGGCATAGAAACTGTCCCCTACACTGGCTCCAGAACCCACAGCCATGTAGCTGACTCTAATAAGGGATAGGGAATAAATGCTGACCTAGCTAATGACACTCATATCCAGGGAATGAATAAAAAAAAACAAGGGTGACATTCAGAAATGACAGGACACTGGGAAAAAGTGACAGCATAGCATTGTTAATTAAACAGGACAGGAATACCATCATGACAATTTCTTTGTCCAAGAAGTAGAATCAATTGGTGTAGAACTAGGATACAGAAAGGGGCTAGGATACTTGGTACAAGTTGTTTATAGACCACAAAATAACATTAAGAATGTAAATCAAGAAATTGGAGGTACATGTAATGTGGGTAATACATAGAGACTGCGCAAACACAATTTGTACCACTGCTACGTCGAACAAATTTTTGAAAGGTATGTAAGATGATACGTAGAACTGTACATTGAGGAATGAACCCGGGAATTTTAGATCTTGTATTATACAATGAAAAAGGGCAGATTAATAATCCTGTTGTAAGGAATCCTTTAGTGAAGAGTAATCATAATATGATAGCATTAAGTTTGAAAGAGTTATAATTCAATTAGAAATAAGGGTCTTAAATCAAAACAAAGGAAACCATGAAGGCCAAATTGGTTATGGTAGATTTGGAAAGAATGAGAGGAATTTTCTCAACTAAATGAAATCAACACTGGTAAGACAAGTGGGAAAGTACAATGAGAATAGAATCATGAGATTTTTAACAGCAAAAATACAATTCCTAATAACGCACACAAGGTTTCAACAGCTGGATGTAAATCTTGCTAACAGATGATGAAGCATCTATTTTCATTCACATGCCACATTTATACACAGTTTGCTGTTTTCCCAGGTACTGCAGAAAAACTATATGGCACCATACATTACAATTAAAAGACATCAATAATCACAGAAATCTGCATGTGTACCTCATGCAGTATCCAATCAGGTTAATTATACATCTGGGTATAATCTAGACCATGACACAAGCAATCTAGGCATTCCAGGTGCAAGGTTCTATAAACTGTAGCAACTTTCCATTGAGAGCAACATATCAAAATATGACTAATTTCATTAATCGGAAAAGGTGCAACTCAGCAAATGTACAAGTCACGTGTGATCATCACAATCACATCTTTGAAGTTAGCGCCAGCTGCCCTGGAAGCTTCTATGATGCCCATATCTTTAAGAACTTGCGTAACTCTTGGAAGATGAGGGCTATGCTCTCCAATCATATCAGATGGCTCCATTAAACAACCTCCTGAATGACACTGAGTAAACACAGAGCCATCGAGGGCCAGATGACATGCCTCCTTAAGATGACTTTCTGATGGACAGGTCTGAATCTACAGACAGAGTGCACCATATCATCCTTACATATTATGCTCCAGACAATTGCAGCACACAAATTGGGAAGTGAAAAATGATTAGCAGCATTCCTCTGAGGAGGAAGATGGATGTTAAGCCAGAGGATCATCTCCTTCATCATGATAGGAAGCAGCAGCATCAAGCAAAACACACCAGGCAGGACTGGAACGAGTTGGGTAAAATCATCATTCAATGACTGTTAATGAGTTGATGCTGGAAAAGCAAGAAGCACCTGTTTATTCTCAAATAAACAAAAGTTAACGTTACTAACTGTTGGAAGATGTTACAACATTTGATGCTCCCAGTGTCAGTCATGCTGGGACGTTATGCCACAGTGGACACTAGGGAAACAGTTGCACTCCTTCAGACATGATTCTAACATCGAGTGATGCTAAGCGTAGTCTCTCGAGCTTCATTATTTCAGGTGTAAAGCGTAAATATATTTACGAATGTAAGATTCTATTTACAATGAGGCATCAAGCGTGCCACCTTTATGCTCCAAAAATGTTTTTTCTTTGTTCTCTCCGATTACATCCAGCTGTAGGTCTGGGGTCCGCAGCTGGTCTGGAAGGACCCTGTTCTCAAGTGAAAACTGATCGACTTGGAATTTTGGGTGATGACCCTGCGAACATTTGTAGCTGGATCTTCCATAGGATTGAGGGTCGCAGGCAGCGTGGAGGTGGAGGAGATGGGCACTTCTGAAGTGCCGTGAAAGGAGACTACTACTGGAATTCCTGGCACCACCCTGGCCCTTTGTGAGGAAGGGGCATCTGGAATGAAGTCAAAATTCCTTGTCTCCCTGTCACCTTGCTGCTGGTGCTGAGCACCAGTGATTACAACAATCAAGAACAGGTCAATGGGCACCTCCAGCAGCCACTGAGAGTTCTGCTGGACTTGGCTCTCCATGGCAGTCTTCAATCTGCTCCAGGAGACAGCCAGGCATCCACATGCCACAACGAGCATAGTTGAGACAGCATTGATGGATTCCTCCAACTTCTGGCATACCAGCCTGTCATTCACATTAGTGGCTGTGCTTTTGGATGAAATTATGAATGGCTGACATGACTAGTTCCTCTCCTGCTTGGAGCTGAGCAGGTCCCTGGTCTCCAGCAGTCCTCTGAATGCCAGTGGCCTGGGGTATTTCTTTCTCCACCAGCTGTGGAGATACGGCAGAATGTGCTCACCGGAATGTGCTTCTAATTCTAATCCAGCTCACATAGCCACCAAGGTGTCAGAGTCTGAGTGAGTGGAGGGTGCAGGAAACAGCCTTGCTGATGTTTCCTCTGAGGGATCTCAGAGGTGGAGGAAGAGATGGTGGCCAGAGGGGCTGGTCTCTTCAGGGGAGATATTCCTTGGATGCCACTGGTGCCTACAGAAGACAAAGGAGGGCATGAAGAGTGCAACAGGGTAAGAAGCTTTAACACGTTAAGAATACATTCACAGTGGTGCTCATGGGAGAGCAATGCAACACTTGACATTGAATCTTTCTTGGTTTCCAGACCAAGGAGGTCTCAGAATCACCACATAAACAATCTTCTGTTTCTTCATAAACAATTTCATTCAAGGATTCTTTTCTCGTAGGGAATGGTAGGACCAAACCGCCCACCACCCATCCTGGCCACCTCATCACTCCACCTTCTTGGCTATTTGCTTCTGCAATGAGACAAAGGGAGTGACTGAGTGAACTACAAGTGGTTGGCCCAGAAGTTAGTAATGTTGCAGGTGGTGAGCTGACCCAAGCGAGTGAGTGAGAAGTGCAGAGATCAGGAAAGGATTAGCAGCTTGGGGGGAATGGAATAGGTGAAAGCTGTTCAGGAAAGATGCTGTTCGCAATAGTGAAAGTGGTAGACCATTGGCCTTGGTGGAGGGACTGTGCAGAAGCGGAGTTAGAGTGAGTGCAAGGCAATAAGCAGAAGATTGTGGCACTTATCCCTGCAGTGTACAGAAAGTTATTCATCTTCTTCCCACATTGCTACCAGTGTGTGAAAATGGCAGTGACCTGGGTGCCAACTGCCGACGAGGCTAGCAAAGTCTGGTATCATGGTCTCCTTTGGCGGTCCCAGGGGAAAAAGGACAGCTCTCTTTTCCTCCATTCTGTTCATCAAGATCTCCAGCCCCTGTCTGCAAACTGAACTGCCAAAGTGCCCTTGAAAATTCTTGCACTTGAAAAGGTGCGCCATTGGACTTTAAATATTGGCGCCAGTAACATAAATGCCAGAAGGCACTGACACTTGTGAGCACTTGAACTCCTGTTGAGCGTGACAGCAGTGTCATGGAGGTGTGGTGCATACTTCCTGTAAAAATTACTCAAGAAAACTCACTAGAGCTCACAGAGGGAAGTCATCCATGAAACTATCCAAAATTGGTCATTAGCCAAATTGTGGGGAAATTCATCCCTACGTTTCTAGGCATGGTGGTAGACAAATAATAGCTAACATTTTAAGAAATAATGCATAGTTTACAACAAAAATACACTTCTTTTATTCATAAAAATCCAGCAAAATGTTTCAATGATGCCTAAAAAATAAAAATTAAACATTGTATTAGATTAAAGGAAAAGGCCAATAAACATGGCAGAAAAAAAAAGACAAGTGTGAGGAGTGGAGGGAATTTAGAATTCTGCAAAGGAGGACAAAGAAAAAGTTACAAAATTGGAAAACAGAATACAACAAGAAAAAAATTAATGAGAAACATAAAAGCATATTTTAAAAGATCCTTAGGCGGCACCTTCCAAACACATGACAACTTCCATCTGGAAGGACAAGAGCAACAGATAAATGGGAACACCACCTGCACGTTTCCCTCCAAGCTACTCACCATCTGGACTTGGAAATATACTGCCTTTTCTATGCTGTCACAGAGTCAAAATCCTGGAACTCCCCCCCTAAAGACAAATTCCTCCCTAAGCAGATGGACTGCAGCAAGAAGGTTCAAGAAGGCAGCTCACCACCACCACTTTCTCAATGGTAACTAGATATGGTTAATAAACACTGACTAGCTAGTGACACCCAAATCCCATGAGTGAATTTAAAAAAAATTATAGCTATGCAAAAAGGAAAAGGTTTCTACATGTTAAAAACATCAAGGGTTGTGGGGATAGTCGACGAAATTGGTGCTCAAGTGGAAGGTCAACCTTGTCCTCCTTGTATGAGGTAGCAGGCTTGAAGGGCTGAATGGCATACTCTTGCTTCCATCTATGTTCTAATGAAACTCATCTCTGGAAGTGAAAACAAATTAATTTTTCAGAATAGACTCATTCACTCACAGTTCTTCATCTGTTTTAATACTTGGTAAAACAACTGGAGTAACTGGACATGGCTTGGTTTTAGATCCGAGAAGGTCAGTAATCACAGTGTTGATTGTCACTACGAAAGTAGAGAAATATGAACAAAGAGACTGTAAATCAAATGAGTACTGAGAGAGTGATACAATAATACAACAGAGTGAAACAATATAACAATATTGTTGAATGGTATATTGAGTATGGCATATGGTTCATGGTTTGGATACTTACACTCTAGAGGCATGGACTATCATTAGATCCAGACAGAAATTCAAATTCTAACAATGGCAGATGGGGAAATTTAATTTAATTAATCATGGAATGAAAAGCTTATATCATAATGATGCCATGAAACTAACAATTTGTTGTTACAAACCCATCTGTTTCATTAATATCCTTTAGGGAACGAAATCAAAACAGGTTAGTCCAGATGCACAGAAGTATGGCAGTCTTTCAACCTCCCTCTGAGAATGCCTGGCAAACCATTACATTTTCAGTCAGGAATGCGATGAATCATCATTTACTCAAGGCTAATTAGGAATGAGCAATCAATACTGGCCTTTCCAGCAATGCCAACAACCACGAGTGAATGAAGAATAAATCACAAAAGATTATGCTCAGAGATAGTAAGAACTGTTGATGCTGGAGTCTGAAATATCACAGTGTGGAGCTGGAGGAACACAGCAGGCCAGGCAGCATCAGAGGATTATGCTGTTATTCACACATCAAACTTGACTATGGATATGCCATTATGGGAAAATGTGAAGTGGAAAACAAGAGGGTACATCTGGTCAAGTTTTGACCGCTAGAGCTTTTACTGCTAAATACAAAATACAGTATGAAGGCCACTGGCACCAGCTGTGTTGGTCTGTGATGAAATGGAAAGCCACTAAAAAACTAACATGAAACACAAATACGATGCTGATCTCAGACTCTTAACTAAGCCACATAGAGTACAAAGTGTACCCACAATCCACAAAGCATTGGCTGACAAATGTAATGTAGAATTTAATATTAAAACTGAATAAACTATCAATTCAAAAGGCAGGAAATTCTCCTTCAATGATCTTGAGTCAAACAATTAGTTTGTGATAGATCTTTTTCCCCTCCTTGATCAACCAAAAACGTGCTGTTGTTTCTTTACAAACTGACTGTGACCATGAAAAAAAGTTTAGAAGATGATGATGCTATGGATCAGTGTGGCAAAGTCATATTTTGTACCTTAACCACCACCAGGGGGAGGTGATGGCCTAGTGGTATTGACGCTGGATTGTTAATCCAGAGACCCAAATAATGTTCTGGAGACTTGGCTTTGAATCCCATCATGGCAGATAGTGGAATTTGAATTCAATAAATATCTGGAATTAAGGATCTAATGATGACTATGAAGCCATTGTCAATTATCAGGAGAAACCCATCTGGTTCATTCGTGCCCTTTCGGGAAGGAAATCTGCCATCCTCACCTGATCTGGCCTACATGTGACTCCAGACCCACAGCAAAGTGGTTAACTCTTGACTGCCCTCTGGGCAAGAAGGGATGGGCAATAAATACTGCCTAGCCAGCAATACCCTCATCCCATGAATGAATAAAGGAAAAAAAACCCATCCCTCCCCCAGCAACTTGTTCAGAAAATGTGTGGAACATTAGCATCTTACTTTGCTCAAAGCAGAGATTCAAATCTGGTTGTCGAGTCCATTGTGAGGACTGCATATTTCAACATCTACAGCTTGCCTACTAAAATCACATCCATGTCTTCGTCACCTCTGGATTTCTCAATGAGTCATTAAGCACGTTAGCAACGATTTACATCAAATTTCCAATGTAATTAGCAGTTGTTTCTTAGATAAGACTTACATTTATATTCATCAGTTGCTTCACCAGCAGGCAAATTAAAGTAGTACTCATGATCCCTTCCATCATACAGGACTGTTTCAGTTGAATTGCCGATGCTGTAGCTATACTTATAATGCAGATCCTTCAATAAGATAGAACATTTCCAGTCAAACAGTACGCTCATTTCAAGACAACAGTATTTTTAAACTCACAAGAGGTTGTAAGATAACTACTAAAAGTGCATTGTTCTGAAACATTTCTGAGAAGTACACTATGCAAGTATCAAGATATACGAGTTAGAAACGAGGGTTACCAAAGATAACAATCCTCAGTTGGACATGGTAGAATTTACAAATCAAAGCCGCGATTTATAGAGTTTACTTCTCTGTACATTATTGATTTTGTCAGCATTGTGACAGGGTTTACTGAGCATTACACTAAGAATTGGATTAGGACCTTAAGGCTGAATAGGACCTGAGATGCCAAATAAGAGTACATAAGGAGTTAGGATCAGCAGCTCATAGAAACACTTGAATAGTAACTGAAAATATTAATTGGTCTATGTCACCCTAATCCACGTTGTTACAAGTTCACACTATTTCAAAAGGCAATTATTTTTGCTAAATATTAATGTCCATGAATAAAGGGTCATTTAATTTTATACACAGATTATAACATACCTCCTATGTTTGATAAACCTGCACTTGCAGCCATAAGACTGAAGGTAATTATTGAAATATCTGTATTTTAAAATGAGTACATCCCATTTCAGTGAGGGAGTTGAATCATTCTAATTCTTTTGTAATTATTGTAAGGCTATCAGGGGACTGTAGAACAGAACTTTTTTGAGACAGATGTATGACATGCCACAGCCCCTTAAAAAAGGGGTAACATATGATTTGATTAAACAAGTGAGAAACTAAATTATATTTTGTTTAGGTGTAATTCGTTGTTTTTGTAAGGAAGAATGCCATATGCCTAGGTAAAATGTAAGATTTACGCTTTTATGTTATTTTTATGGCTCAAGCTCAAGTAAACGTAGACTGACAATGTGAGAATGCTTTGACATAAATGTTTTTATTTAAAGACACAGCTATGTTTGAAATTGGATTAGTTTTGTAACCTTAATGCAACAGGCCTATGAGCAGTACTTCAGAATTAGGCTCAGTTAAGTGAGATTTGATGTTTTCCAGTTCTTCTGAGGTTGATTCAGATGCAACATTTGGAATGATAGCTAATCACGAAGGGTGGCACTACATACACTAGACAAACAAATAAATTGTGCTGCATTATCTTGGTAGGGATATACCTAGAGTAAAGAGTCACTAGCCGTCACAAAAGGAATTGACACATTAAAGAATGCATCAGGAAATAATAAGAGTAAAATGACCATTACTTTGAAAGAAACCACCTAGTCAATCCAAGATCGATCAATTGAAGTTCAGGATGTCCCTTATCATGCGCAAGGAGTAGAAACTACAAGGATGAAAGCTACCAAGTGGTGGTTCTTAGAGATTCCATGTACAAAACAGGAATGACAAACATAGGAGAATATCAGTCAACAGAACTGAAAAGGGACAGGTGTCCAGTCAACCAGTATCATAAACCAGCATCCCAAAGTGGACTGTCTGAAAACCACTGCTTTTACTAATAATTATTTCTTTTGTGTTTGATACAATAAACTTAATAAACTCTGCAAAATTTGTGAAAACATATGGGAAACTGGAACGGATCTTGTAGCTAATTAGGACTAGTAAATCTTAGCTTGGCTCCCTCAAACTCAGTCTATAATTGCAATGAACTCAGGTCTTGGAATTAAAACTGCAAGTGCACACCCAAATCTTACATATGAGCCTGGCATCATCTGTGTACAAGGCACAGAAGTTGCAAAATCTACTTAGCATTTCCAACATTTTCTATCTTTATTTCATCAGTCCTTAAAATAGAATAACAGTGGTGACCTTTTTGAAAACTGTTCCAAATAATTATTCATTTCAAATGGCAAAAGCCAATGAGCACTGATAAAAACAGAAGAACAAACATGACAGTGGTGACTCAACTAGCATTGTTGGGGAATACAGTTAAATATGTGAACAGGTTTTGTCCATCATCTTTTAAAAGGGGGCAAATGTTGGAGGATTTGTTCAAGGCTTGAGCATAACCTTTCATATTCTAAGATATAGTAGGAACTGCAGATGCTGCAGAATCTGAGATAACAAGGTGTGCCACAACGATGCCACCCAAAGGTTGCAGGAACAGCAACTCGTATTCCGCTTGGGAACCCTGCAGCCCAATGGTTTCAATGTGGACTTCACAAGCTTCAAAATCTCCCCTCCCACTACCGCATCCCAAAACCAGCCCAGCTCGTCCCCGCCTCCCTAACCTGTCCTTCCTCCCTCCTCCCACCTCAAGCCCCACCCCATCTCCTACCTACTAACCTCATCCTGCACCCTTGACCTATCCGTCCTCCCTGGACTGACCTATCTCCTCCCTAACTCCCCACCTACATTCACCTTTACTGGCTCGATCCCCGCCTCTTTCACCTGTCTGTCTCCTCTCCACCTATCTTCTCCTCTATCCATCTTCTATCTGCCTCCCCCTCTCTCCCTATTTATTTCAGAACCCCCTTCCCCTCCCCCATCTCTGGAGAAGGGTCTAGGCCCGAAACGTCAGCCTTCCTGCTCCTCTGATGCTGCTTGGTCTGCTGTGTTCATCCAGCTCTACACCTCTTTCATATTCTAATGTGGTCTAATCTGGAAAGTCAGTTAGTGAAGGATAATACTGAGGTTGATCAGTCTCACTTTATTTTACTGAGTGAAACGTTGCAACTACCTGCATACACTTGCTAACTCAACCACACCACAGTTAAATTGCTTTTCATTAAAAGTTATTTTTGATCAACCTGTTCTGACATGTAACACATTGCCAGGGCAGATGAGATTTGAACTTGAACTTTCTGCCCCAGAGATAGGGGCATTACCCTTGCACCACAAGACCCACTTTGTTTCTTTGTATGTGCTCAAATGAAGCCATATTTCATGCCCTCAACCTGCATTGAATTAAATTACAATTGTACAATTACAATTTACAAATAACAGACTATATAGTATCTTTACCAAAGGAATTTTTCTCAACTGATGATTTTTTTAAAAAACACTACAAACTCACCTTCCTGCCTGAAGTACAGAACATGCTATAATGGGTCAGAATCTCTGATCCAATGCTGGGGCGCACTTCACATGACAATCCTTGGGGGGCTTCATTTATGAAGAGAAAAAGTTGTGCTTTTCCGGTTTGGCTCTGATCTCCTACTGGAGAAGTAGTCAGTGTATGTAACAAAACATTACAATCTCAGCAAACACATGACTTCTGTAAGCATAAGACGAGAGTGGAGTTCAAAATGCTTATAATATTCTTTCTTACCAACAATAACTTCTATCATGTAAATCTTCTTACTTTTCAAGCTGAAAGGTTGAAATGTTAAACTCTGTGATTTTATACCTGCAAAGAAAAGCAAATCTGTCACTGTTGGTGGAACATAAAAAAGAAAAAAAAATCACAGCTGAAGAATATATTAATACTGTATAGCCAAATATTAAAACTGAATTGCTTATAATTTCAGTTGTATTGATTCTATCTTATCTGTTTTCTTTTCTTGCACTTATCTCCCCCTTCACTGTCTCTCTTCCTGAATGCTGCTTATAAAGTACAGTTCCACGGACACCAGCTTTTCTTCAATTCTTCAATTCTTCATCGAGGTTATGATACTTCATGAAAACTTCAAAAGGGAATGTTAGCAAGCCTGCATTGTGAAGGCCATCAAATCTAAAAATAAACCTCAAAATGATTCAGTGTCAATACAATGTGGAGCTGGAGGAACACAGCAGGTCAGGCAGCATCAGATGAGCAGGAAAGTTGACGTTTCAGGTCGGGACTCTTCAACAGGACTGGGAGGGGGACGGGAGCTCAGAAATAAATGGGGGGTGGAGCTAGGGGAAGGTAGGTGATAGGTGGACGCAGGTAGAGGGTTGTGGAGAGTAGTCAATGGGAAGGGTGTGGCGAATGGGTGGGGCGAATGGGTGAGAAGGAAGATGGACAGGTTGTGTCAGGTCAAGGAGGCAGGGAAGAGCGGGAGGGTTGGTCATGGGATGAGGCCAGGGGAGGGGAGATTTTGAAGCTGCTGAATTCTATGTTGAGGCCATTGGCCTGTAAACTCCCAAGGCAGAATATAAGGTGTCATTCCTCCAGTTTACATGTGGTCTCATTGTGACATTGGAGGAGCCCAGGATGGACATGTCATCCCTGTTGCATTTGGAATGATTGTTTGGGGCCTTGGCCAGAGAGGAGAAGGGAGGTATAGGGGCAAGTGTAGCACTTTCTGCGGTTGCAGGGAAAGGTGCCAGGGGTGGTGGGGTTGGTGGGGAGTGTGGAGAGGACGTGGGAATTGCAGAATGAGCTGTCCTTACGGAAAGCAGATACGAGTGGGAGGGAAATATCTCTTTGGTGGTGGGGTCGGATTGTAGATGGCGAAAGTGGCAGAGGATAATGCATTAGATTTGAAGGTTGGTGGGTGGTATGTGAAGACCAGGGGGTCTCTGTCCTTATTGTTATTGGGGGTGGGGGTATGAGGGCAGAAGTGCAGGAAATGCGGGAGATGCAGTTGTAGGAATTATGAATCACGGGAGAGGGCAAGTTACAGTCCTTGAAATAGGAGGACAACTGGGATGTCCAGGAGTGGAACGCTTCATCCCCAGAGCAGATGCAGCGAAGCGGAGCAATTGGGAGTATGCGATCACATTTTTGCAAGAAATTGGGTGAGAGGAGGCATAGTCAAGGTAGCTAAGGGTGGGTTTGAAATAGTTGTCGATGCTGAGTCGGTTGCCGGAGATGGAGACGGAGAGGTCCGGGGAGGTGTCGGAGATGGTTCAGGTGAATTTGAGGTTGAGGTGAAAGGTATTGATGAAGTGGATGAACTGTTCGAGGTCCTCTCGGGAGCACAAGGCAGGAATGATATAGTCATCAATGTAGCATAGGAAGAGGTGAGGGATAGTGCCAGTGTAACTGCGAAAGATCTCCCCCTCACACTCCCTTGGCGACATGTCCATCCTGGGCCTCTTCCAATGTCACAATTCTGCCTCAGGATCTTATAGCCCAATGGCCTCAACATAGAATTCACCAGTTTCAAAATCTTCCCACCCCCAGTCTTATCCCATGTCCAGCCCTCCCTCTCATCCCTGCCTCCCTGATCTAACACAACCCGTCCATCTTCCTTTTCACCTATCCGCCCCACCCTTCCCATCTCCACCACCCGCTACCGACATCCACCTATCACAATCCCACCTACCTTCTCCAGGTTCACCCCTCTCCTTCTATTTATTTCTGAGCTCCCTTTCCCCTCCCCAGTCTTGAAGAAGGGTCCTGACCAGAAACGTCGACTTTCCTGCTCCTCAGACGCTGCCTGAGTTGCTGTGTTCCTCCAGCTCCGTACTGTATCAACTCTGACCTCATGCATCTGCAGTTCTTGCTATCTCAAAATGATTCAGTTGTCTAATATTTAGAGAGGCACCAAGGCAGTTGGTGCACACACAGGCTGAAAGGTGGCACAATATTTGCACGTGTTCAGGATTATCACCATTGTCTAGCTGCAGTGCAGACAATAATGTAATCATCTTGTCAGGAGTAGCAAACCAAGTCTCCTTTCCACATCTTTCAAATTGTTTACACAGATCTGAAAGAATCTCAGTTTGCCTCAGCCCTATCCATGAGTCAGTTGTACCTTCCTTCTATTTTCACTTAGATCCTCAAGAGCTGCTACTGCTTTCATTAATTTTCCTCTTGGCCTACTTTGTTCCTTGTTCATGAAAACTATGGTTAATTGCTCAAACAAAATTACACCAACATCAAAATCAGTGATTATAGACACGATGAACAGTCACTCAATTCTCCCTAATATCACAGTATAACCAGCACTTTTCTTATTACAGTTGGTTGACATAATTTTTAATTTTAATTTACAATAGCTCCTTTCTGCAATTTGATTCATTTTACCATCTTATTCTATCCAAATTCTTTCAATCTCTTTAACTACTTATTATCTAAACACCTGGAGTTTACTTTCTTCCCAATCAAATGACCACCTTGTTGAATTTTTATTCAGTCTGCCACTCCCTTTACTTTTATTGAATAAGGAATTCAATTTTACCAGTTTTCATAAGCTACAGCCTCAAAATGATTTGATTCTATAGTGTTCTCAGGTTCAGTGAAATGGGTGCTGCCAGATTACAAGGATCACTGATAATGACACAAAGCATGCAAGTTGAAAAGTTATAAACTCAGTTAACCCAAGGACAGAAGTGTATTACTGGACCAGCAAGTTATCAATAAAAAATGTTTTTTCTTGAGTGACTCCACTACAATTGATAGAAATACATTAAACTAGAAAATGACCTGTGTTACACCATCCATTCTATATTGAAGGTGCAACCAATCCCTGACCAAATATAGCAACTTGGACAGGGTCAAGGAATCCCTAGACTGGGGAAATGCAAGCCAGAATCCCTCAGTGCAAGTTGGTACATAGAAGACTATGCAAAATTATATCACAGCCAGAAGTGGGACCCGACTACGGGGTCAGTATGGGCTGGTCTGTCCAATGATATTATTTTAGTGTCTCTTGCGCAAGGATGGCCATGGACACTGCTATTTCCTTTGCCTAAGTGGGGAATAGTTGGACATGTATCTGGCTGGAGCACCTTTGATATTCTTTTCAGCATTAAAACAAACTTCTTCCTGACTCTGGAATATCTGCTACTGTCAATCGTAGAGTTTCAATTTGTCACATCTCAGCACTTACACCAGGATGCACCCCAGTGCACGTATTTGTAGAAAAGCTTTTTAAAGCTAAGGTCAAGCTTGTTCCCTTTTTTTATTCAAACCATGTACCTGTTGTTGTGTAAGTTTCAAACTTCATATCATTAATAGCCACTTTAGTCCACTCTATCATGGGGCTCGGTCTTGATGCGGGTGGAGGCTGCATGTCTGGAAGAACATCATCACCATCTCCTGCTTCTGATCCAAAAGTAGATCCTCCAGATGGATCTGTACCAGCTCCATTACCTGTATTACTCCCACTAAATCCACCTCCTGTAACTCAATAAAATAGGTGATAGCAATATAAAAGAAATCAAAAATGAGTTTGCAAGTGAAACACTACTTTCATAGAGTTTAGAACGGTTACAGCACAGTAGACTATTCAGCCAATTTAATCTCGGCCAGCTCTCTGCAAGGGAAACACAGCTTGTTCCATTCCCCTACTCTTCGCCTGTGATTTCTTTCTCATTGGTTGCTTATCCAAATCCTTTATACAAAGCCCCAGTTATACCTGCCTCCACACCACTCTTGGGCAATGTGCTCTAGATCTTAACCATTTGGCGTACAAAACACGTTTCCTCTTGTCCCTTTTAGGTCCTTTCCAATCTTGTTACATCTGTCTCTTCCAGTTCTCTAAGTTGCTCTAAGTATATCGACACAGTCTAGATCTCTCAAATTTGAACACATTTCATGTCTAATTTGTTTACCAATGCAATCACTTACATGCAACATTCATAAGAAAAATAACAAAATGCTCATTCTTCTGTGTCCTACTAGAAGAGCTCCAGAAACAGAAAAATGGTGAAATGTTACTTTGTGGAGATGGCATACGTACCTTTAAATTGCTACATAATGAACATCCCATTTCACGCTCAGTAATCGATGATAATTTTAAGGCCGTGCTTCCAAAAATTCATTGGCAGAATTTCTCATCTACCTGTCATGTTGTGGAATGCACAGTGCTCTGTTCATAGGATCATAAGCCACTTATTCAAATCCAGAGATCTTGGTTTGCAGAACCAAGTCTGAGAGATCTCAAGCGTGCAAGTGTTCTGGTATTCCAGGTCTTAACAGTTATAACAAGTAATCTTCCCACTACTTCACAAGCTAGGACACTCTACCCATTAAGATTTCAACAGCAATACTGGGAAAAATCCCAGACCCAGGTGCCAGGTCTACTCTTCCACATTCATGAGCCAGCTGACCAGATGAATCATCACCAGTGACATTGAAACTGGCTTGGCCCATGTATGAAATTTCAGTGCCAATGATGAAATTTAAACTTTGTTACTTAGTTTCATTGGCAAGCTTTTTGTTACCAAGCAGAGATATCAGAGTTAGACCAGAGATACCCACTTGGCTGGTGTAACATCAGATGGTAAAAGATAAGATGATAAATCAATAAAGTAGAGACTTAATAATAGATGGTTCAAAACACAGGAAGAGGCATACAGTCACTGCATCAGCATACCACTGGACTTCCAGCCCCCTAAGAAACAATTTATTGGTGACACTTCAAACTGATTTAAGCTTACTGGGATAGATTGCATTTTAATTTTCAATCAGATATGGAATTTTTCAGAGGCTTGGGAGAAGAGTAAGATTCTTGATAAAAGTCTGCAGCAAGGTTCATTCAGAAATAAATGAAGGATGAGGCACAGCAAGAGAAAGAAGCAGAAAATTTAGTAGAAACTGAATCCCACCAATCAGAAACAGGTAAATTTATTTAACTCTGCTCAAAAAACTGACAGCATACCTTGAAATCCTGGCCTCCCACCAGATCCAGAGGTTCCTTCTACTGTGTTATAATGTGTATCATACTCTGTACAAAGAGGAAATAACACATATTATATTCAAAGCAAATGCAAAGTATGTAACTAGTAATAAAGTTTAGAAGGTGATTACTACTGATTTTGCATTATTTGCTCGGTAATTGCTCAAAATTATACATCTGTAACAATAGAAGTTAAAAGCCCAAAACTGGGAATTTTCAACTGACTAATGGAATTCTTTTCTTGTGCTCTAATATGAAAATCTCAACTGTCAAAAAACTATCTACCCTTCCAGGGTCACAGTGACAGGGATCTTGCCTTCCAGCAGGGGCCCCTCGAAGATGTTCTTTGACACAGACATTTTGGACTGCGGAAGGAAACCAGAGCACCCGGAGGAAACCCAGACACGGGGAGAATTTGCAAATTCTCAGTCATCCAAGGTTGGAATCAGATCCAGTTCCTTGGTGCTGTGAGGCAGCAGGGCTAACCACTGAGCCACTGTGCCGCCCCAAAAAGGCAGATACTATTGTTGAAATCCCTTACCTGAATAATCAGTGGAGTTCTCTGCTGTGTTTGAAGAACCTTCACCGAAGACACTTCCGCTATTGTTCACTTTGGTGCTGTTGCTGACATTTGCTAAAAGTAAAAAGCGATGGAGTCAAGGACCAAGACAAGAGCATAGGAGAAGTAAGTTTGTTTTTAGTCGTATACATCTCAATTTTCCTCAGCATTTTTATGGAAGCACCTAGTTTAAAGTATAATTAGACTTCCGATGTTGAAGCAACAGTCAAGAAGGCACAATAATGCCTCTTCTTCCTTAGGTGGCTCAGGAAATTTGGTATGTCCATAAGGTCCCTCACCAACTTTTACAGATGCACCACAGAAAGTATACTGTCCAGATGCATAATGGCCTGGTATGGCAACTGCTCTGCGCAGAACTATAAGGAACTACAGAAGGTTGCGTGCTTAGCCCAAACCATCACAGAAGACAATGTTCTATCCATGGACTCCGTTTACATCTCTCGTTGCCGCGGAAAGGGTGCCAACATTCACAAAGGCCCCACTCACCCTGGTAATGCACTCCTACAACTTCTTCTGTCAGGTAGAAGATACAGAAGCTTGAACACTTGCACCAGCAGGTTCAGGTACAGCTTCTTCCCTGCCGTTATTAGACTGATGAATGGAGTCTCTAACTTCAAATAATCTTGATCTATTAATGTTGATCTTGCTTTGCACGCCTCGTGTGCAGTGTAACCTGTATGCCTCACTTTGTCTAAGCACCCTATGCTCTGTATGTTCTTACTTGCTATGATCTGCCTGTAATGCTCACAAACAAAGCCTATCCCTGTACTTAGGTACACGTGACTACAATAAATCAAAACAAACCAAATCAAATCAGGCAGCCTTCACTGTCAAGCATGCATGTTGTTCTGTCATTTTACTTTCAGGTACACCAGTACGATTCCTTGTGTACTCCATTGTACTCTCATTGAATCAGGTTGATCCCCTTACCTAATGATAATAGTGGAGCAAAAGATATACTGAGCAATGATGTTACAAGTTAAATTGAATACAGCTCTGGAACAAAAACAAAGTTGCTGGAAGAGCTCAGCAGGTCTGGCAGGTCCAGCAACTTTGATTATGTTCCTGATTTACAACATCTGTAGTTCTTTCGGTGAATACAGCTCTGATTGCATTGATGTTGATTACCATAACATCTTATAGATCACAAGCCTTGAGCAGCTGATGCATTCTGAATCTATGTCAACTAGTACAGTGGTAATGTCTCACATGAAGGAGGAAATTCTCAGTGTGAAGACAGATCTTTATCTCCACAGGAACTGCATGGTATATGACGGAACCAACACTATCATGCAAATTGTAAATTAGTGAGGATGAGGTCAAATCAGCTGTTTCTTTATGTCAATTCTTTCAATAACAGCTGGAAATCCAGTGTGGCACTCGTGTCTTTCAGGACTCCAACTGCTTGATGACTAATTGTTCTACCAGATCACTTATGGTAATGAAGATTTGTGGCCCCCATGCAAATGTTATCTTGTGCCCTTGCTACCCTGGCTGCTTCTTCAAAGTGGTATTCACAAAGGAATACTGGTTCATCAACTGAGACAAAGCACTTAGTGACAATCATCAGGAGGTTTTCTTGAATGTATCTAACCAATTCTACGAAACGTCATAGAAACTGGAGTCACCCCTAAGAACTCTAAAGGTTCCTCCTGCCTGACTATATACCACTGTGTTACTGTCTTTGGTGGATTCATACCGCTGGTAGGATGGAATGTACCCATGGATGGTGATGGCTAAATCTGTGAATGAATGAGCCTGTAGGACAAGTGTCAAAAATTTGGCATGTGTATTCAGATATTAGTAAGGATGACATTGCTGACTGGGTGTGCCTTTGACATATCTAAATCCAATCTGAATGTTGGTTTGTCTGTCTGGTTTGATTCTGAAAGCATTTTTGTAGTATTTGTTTAGAAAAGAGTGGTTCACTATACTATTGCTAAAGATGGCTAAAAGGTACTTACGTCGATGTAGGTCTGGACTCAAATACAGGTCAGCATGGGTAAAGGATTTTCTTCCTCAAAAGACACTTGTAAATCACTTGGTTGCTTACAATTCAGTAATTTTCTGGTGCCCATTACTAATAACAGATGCATTTAATTAACTGAATTCAAATTCACAAATTGACATGGGTTATAGCGAGTCACAGTACATGCTGTTTATTGCATAGGGCCTCTGACTATACTAATTCACTAAGTCAAAGTGGATTTTATTAGAGTATTGTGAAAGCATTGGAAGTATTTCCAGACTTAAATTCCATGATTGTGTGCTGCTAACTGAGGAGACGATTATTGTGTACTGTTACTTTGTCAGTATTTTGTACTGTTTGGGAATGAAAGAAATTTGGGTCAAAAATAGAGAAATTAATGTAAAAGCTTAAATGATAATGATATGTATATAAACAAATAAAATTGAAAATACAGATAAAGTTAAAAGTTGGAAAGTTTTTGTATCACTGTTTTTGGAATTGAAATTAAATTTATGTTGAAGTACTTTAAAACTTGTGTGTGTGTTCATAACATGTCTACATGAGAAGAAACACTACAAAGCTTTGCCCTGCATGGAGCCTCACAAAAAACAGTGTTTTGATGTGAAATTGTGACCCAAACAATGCAACACAAGCAAATAATGAAAGGTGACCAAACAAGAAATATGAGCATATGCAACTGATTTCAATTATGATGGATATAACTTGTTAAGCATGAAGATAATCAAAATCCTATTTTGTAACAGATGAATTACAACGTAAGCATGAAGTGTTTAATGGCTGGGCAGCATTTATTGCCTTCCCCCTTCAGAAAGTGGTAATGAGTTGCTTCTTGAACCACTGCAGTCCATGTGCTTTTAAGTAGACTCACAATACTGTTAGGGAAGGAATTCCATTTTGACCCAACAATACTGAAGGAACACCAATATATTTCCAAAATATGTGAGTGGCTTGGAGAGGAATTTGCAGGTGCGGGTGTTCCCATGTATCTGCTGCCCTTGCCCTTCTAGATGGAAGGGATCATGGGTTTGGAAGGTGCTGTCTAAGGACCATTGGTGAATTTCTGCATTATATCTTACAAATGGTACACAATGCAGCTACAGAGTGTCAACAGTGGAAGGAGTGAATTTTTGTGGATGTGGTGCCAATCAAATGGCCTGGTTTATTTTGGATGGTGTCAAACTTCTTGAGAGTTGTTGGAGCAACACTCACTTGGGTATGAGCAGAGTATTCCATTATAGTCTGCACTAGTACTTTATGGATGGTGGATAGGCTTCAGAGAGACAGGAGGTGAGTTACTCATTGCTGTATTTCCAGCCTCTGACCTACTCTTATCACCACTGTATTTATGAGGCTAGTCCAGTTTAGTTTCTAGTTAATTGTAAGTTCTGCTTTTCATGATGACTGTAGGATCAGGTTAGCAATGCAAGTAATAGAAAGGAAAACTTTAAATGCCCAAGATAATACGCTGCATTTATTAAGTCTACTTTACCTCCCTTTTCGGTAATGCTGGTCTCTGAGAGGTGAAGCTGTGATCCATTGCTTTCTACGCTATTTATAATGGGAGACGTAACAGGAATTGCTGAGATCTGTAAACTCTCTGAAATAGAAGAGAAGTTCTGACCGCTGGTTACATTCGAAGTTTGGATAAAATCTGAAACAAAACACAATTACATAAACATATAGTAATTTTGAAATACAAGAGCTACTGAGCTAGTTACCACAGTTTTGTCTTGTTAAGTACCTAGTGGGCTTAATCGAACTGGTAGCTGCAGGATTCAGGGAGCACAGCATTTTCAAAATCCTATTTATTCATCTTAAAAAGTCGGTAAAATCGATCCTGAAACACTGATTTACTATTTTGATAGTTGTACTGAAAGGAACAAACTGGTACTGTAGAATAATGGGATTAAAATCACAAGCATGCATGATAATAGTGTAATAATATCAGAGTCACGTGAGTTGATAGAGATTTTAAAGTGAACAGATGCTCTAACCACGTAAAGAGTTTAAGCAAAAGTCCAACTGTAAATAATGATTTCATGCATAAAAAGACCATGGTCTAAAAAGCATAATTTTGAGAGACTAACCAAACGCAGAAAAGGAACATTCTCCATTAATTCTTCCAGATATTTCTGTATTTCCAGCATTTTTGCTAGGCTGAAATGTACCAGGAAACAGTTAAGTCTCAATTTTGCAGAGTTTCATGAACAGTTTCTCTGAATGAGCTTCAGCAAGTTATCTCACACCATTCTCTGCTGTCAATCCCATTAGGTATGGACCATACCTCTCTGGTGCTCTGCTTATGTTGTTGTACTCTCACGAGCAGTGGAAGGACTCACCACTGCTGGGACCTCAGGGAATCTTCACCACCAGTGCCACGTTTAAAGCTCACTTGTGCATCAGGTCAATTGCTGCCAGCCTCAGAGTAACCCATCACAATTTCCCCTCCCCTCCCTTGTCCGCCTTCTGCATGGACTGTTCCCTCTGGAACCTCTGGTCCATGCTTCCTTCACTTCCAACACCCCGCCTCCCTCACCCACACACCCACAGCCCCACGGCACCTTCCCCTGCAACCAGCGAAGGCGTAACACCTAAATAACAACTGTTCTAAGGAAAGGTCACAGGACCCCAAAGGTTAACTCTGATTGTTTTCTTCACAGATGCTGCCAGACCTGCTGAGTTTTTCCAGCAACTTCTGTTTTTGTTCCTGATTTACAGCATCCGCAGTTCTTTCAGTCTTTACTGGAACACACCACCCTGTTGCCTGCCCAACATCTCTGTCTCTGGCTTGCTGCAGTGTTCCAGCAAAGCTCAGTGCAAGCTGGAAGAACAACACCTCATTTTCCGCTTGGGGACTCTGCAGCCCTCTGGACTCAATATTGAGTTCAATAATTTTAGGACCTAAACTCTCCCATGTCCTAGCCCACTACCTCACACACCAGGCCTTGTTATCACATAGCGACTAACAACAGGTAGTGTGTAATGGCAGATTAATAGTCCCTATTAACAGCTATTCACCCTCCTAGCCAGATTGTTGTCAACTCCTTTGTCTATCCAATTGCTCTTCTCTCTCTTTGGGCTCAATCCCCACCTATCTTTTACTCCCTAGCCCCTCCACCTCCCTACCTTCTGCATATACACTGACATTTTCCTAGCTACCATCAGTTCTGAGGAAGGGTCACCAGACCCGAAATGTTAACTCTGATTTTTTTTCTTCACAGATGTTGCCAGACCTGCTGAGCTTTCCCAACAACTTCTCTTTTTGTTCCTGATTTACAGCATCCGCAGTTCTTTCGGTTTTTATTTAAATTCAACAATACGTTCTGCTATGACTAATAAAAGAAAGAAAACTTCATACATGGTTTTATATGTTTAATGTAAAGGATATTTAATATGTAACTAATGCAATAAAAAGAAGTACATGTAAAAATAATAAATAAAGTCACCATAAACTTATCACACCACAGGGCTGTCCTCTCATTAGAGAAAGGTGACTGATGGTGTTTTAATTTGAGGGTCACCTTGTCTCAGGTAAGGGGAGAAGTTCAGAAGGAGAGTCTTTCATGGTAACCACAGCCAGTGTAGGAATTGAGCCCATGCTGTTGGCATCACTCAGCATCACAAGCCAGCCTTCCAGCCAACTGAGCTAACCAATCCCCAGTAACAATAATTTTATTAATTCTACACACATCTGACGAAGTGGTTTGTGTTGCCTCAGCCAGGTATGTTTTCCATAGACGTGTGCTGGCAAAATTGCATTTGGTGGCTATAGCCTACCATCTTCCCACCCAACATCAAGCTGTTTCCCCATAACATGCTGTGTGGGTAAGACATCGTTCAGTCTGCTCTTACGTCTTTAAAGCCCTTAACTGACAAATTAATGGGCAGATAAGGGCCTACTTCCACCTCGCCACCACAATGTAATGGATGGTGGAAACTGAATGCTGGTACTGCTCAGTTTACTCAGCTGCAAGCCAATCAGATAGCCTGGCATCTCTTAAGGCAGGGCTTCCTATCCCAGAGGGTTGAAAGCCCAATACATACTTTTAGGGTTGCACTACCCCTCCAAATAGCGAACTGGGTTGGCAAGTAGAAGCTTTTTAGAAGTTGGTGATCTTGTCTACTGAAGAATAAGTAAAGTCACCCCACACCGCCCCCAATAAAATTCACCCCAATTCACATCATCTACACCAACATAGTTTTCCAGATATATGTGTATGGACATACACCTACACATACATACTGTCATACACTCTTACATGTTTTAAAGATTTACCTGAAGCATTAGAGAATGAAGTATTTGCTGACATGGCAGTTCTTGGAAGCCTTGCACGAGGCCTCCCATTGAAGATCTGTTCCTCTGGCATTGGAAATGGGAATGGATTTTGTGAGGTAGCGGTTCCTATTATTTTGTTTGTCGCACTAATTGTGGAGGTGTTGACTGCAACAACAGGGCGACTTGAAACTGTAGTACTACTGATCGCATTGTCAGGATTGTTTTGAATCCAAGTATCAAGACCGCCTTTGTTGATGTGGCTGGTTGGAGACTGAGCTCGTTGAATGCTGGTCCTATTCATAGCAGTACTTATTAATGTCTGGCTGCTGGAAGTCACATCAGATGAAGGTGGCATAGTCACAATAGGGCCATATAAACTTGACTGCAAATTGTCGACCACAAGTTTACAAAATGGAACTGTAAAACAAATACACTTTAAATTAATACAGGTGCAAAATGTTGCCAGTACTGGAAATCCTCAGCAGGTCTGAGAAACAGAGAAACAGTTAACATTACAGCATTTTTTGTTTTCATTGCACATAATATTAAAGCATTTGCCAAGTCTGGGAGGAAAGGTAAATTAGGCCAAATGTTAAATTCAGAACTATTTAAATTTCTTTGAAAAGCTGTGATCAGTTTTTCTTGACTATTATTTTGAATGTCAGCATCAGTTTTGCAGATATCATTAGCAGTCATGCTGCAAATCACAAATTTCACCAGTAAATAATATTTTGAAGCAAAACCAAATGTTAACAGCAATCTGAAAAATACAATGAAAAGAACGTGCCTCTTTTGCCTTGCAGATAAGTCTGTAAGCCTTCATGTTTACTAAATAATGGAGATGGAAAACTCTTTCAAATTTACACACTTATAGCATTTTCAGCAATTTTCACTTGGCTTCCAATCCAATTCTTTATGCAGTTCTCCTCAAGTTACACACATGAAAACCCATCACCATGGAGGAAACGGTGTGGGTGTCTGTTGTAGCACGTCCATTCTCTTCCCAAAGGGACTCCCTAATAAACTTAATTCCAGAAGAGTTAGGGATTGATTGCAGAGCCAAGGGAGGGAGTCCACTAGCAGCATAGGAGTACTGCTGGAGAGCGAAATAGAATTAACATTTTGAGTCCAATAATTCTTCTTCAGAACTGATACAGGTGAGGATGATGATTTTGAAGTTTAGGTACATTCGTGAGGTTGCACAGAATATTCACAGTGAAATTTTAACAATTGAATTGATGAAACATGGAGGGCAGAGGCAGGTGAGAAAAGCACTTTTGAAATTAAGAAACACTATTCAGTGGCTTGTTATGAAAGCTTTTAACACGATAATGTAATCAGTACTTGTGAAATAGCTAGATAACCAGAAATAAACAACATTTAATATGGCAGTGCTAGTCATTTATGGAAGACATGACTGTTGAGTTATTCCTTGCCTGATAGTCATATTTTTCAGGAGGAATCAGTGGACAGTAAGAAGAAGTGGAAGCATGAGCTAATATTAATTCTCTGTCAGGAGCAATGTGAATGTCAAATATCACACCATGACTGCTACCTCAGCCGAGATCCACTGATTCAAATAAGCTAGAAATTGAGCTTGGGACCTCTTTGATCTGCACAACTAAATATAAGATAATATCATAAATGTGAATGAGTGAATCTAAATTTATGCAATTATTGTTTGAATGGTTTATTACAACAAGTTAATGCTACAATCACGAAGTGATTGCGAAATTATTGTTTATTACATCAGATGCATGTGGAAATGCAAAACCTGCTAATCAAAGAGAAGCAAAAAGAAACAGGTCCAGCAGTTCCTGAAGCCTCTCCTTCGATTGCTGGAGCAGGTTAGCTCTGGTTGTTGACAGGTACACATCCACAGGCAAAAAAAAAGTTACAGAAAATATAAAGGCAAGTTCTGTGTAAAAATAAACAATATTGCAATTTGACAACCTTTATTAGATGGTTAAGGTAATAGACAGTGGACACAAGATTATTCAACCAGTGTTCATTTACTAACAGTAGGGGAGTCAATGGCCTAGTGGTATTATCACTGGACTGTCAATCCAGAGACCCAGATAATGTTCCGGGGACCCAGGTTCAAATTCCTCCACGACAGATGGTGGAACTTGAATTCAATAAATATCTGGAATTAAGAATCTAATGATGACAGTGAATCCATTGCCAACTGTCAGGATTAAACCCATCTGGTTCACTAATGTCCTTTGAGGAAGGAAACTTCCATCCTTACTTGGTTTGGCCGACATGTGACTCCCGACCCACAGCAATGTGGTTGCCTCTTAACCGCCATCTGGGCAATTCGGGAAGGGCAATAAATGCTACCTAATCAGAAACGCCCTCATCCCCGTGAATGAATAAAGGAACAGAAATATTAGACTCCAGCACAAATGCTCACAAATCTTTTAGATTTTGTTTTTGTTAATTGACAGTCCCATAACACTTTGTGACTCACCATCAATAGGTTCTGTTTCGGTTGAATTCACAAGATATAACTTCCAAGAATATGAAAGGTTCGAAGTTTCTGAACACCCCTCACACACAGCTTTGACAGAAAATGCTTCGTTCCAGTTGACGGAATTATTCAGACATTCAGCACAGTAGATTTTCACCAGTCTGTAAGAGAGATCACTAAAGTTTAATCAGTTAATACATTCCTTTCCTCTGTCTCTCTCTCTCTCTCTGGTACAAAGTTTTGTTTTCATGAAACATGAGCGTCACTATCAAGACTATAATTGTTACTCACTCCTAACTGCCCTGGAACTGAATCACTTGTTAGGTTATTTCAGATGGCACTACAGTTCAACCACACCGCAGTTGGTCCAGGGCTGCAAGTAAGCCAAACTGGAAAGTACAGAAGATTTCCTACCCGAAAGAACGTTAGTGAGTCAAATTACTTTTTACCACAGTTGATGATATTTTCAAGGTCACCATTATGGTGATTAGCTTTCAATTCCAGACTTATTCATTGAATTTAGATTTCACCAGTGTTAGAATTTGAACCCATGTTCAAAGGACCTGGGGATTCTCAATTACTTATCCAGTGACATTACCACATCCTACCATTTCCCCGCAGACATAATAAAATTGTGAAAAAAAAAATTACACATGTGAAAAAGTAAAATGATATTCATATTTCTTCCTGCTCATTTCATTTCTACATTGCAAAGGATTTTAAAAATGTGGGTATTGTGATTTTATCAATTGAGATAGTTTTCTTAAATCTGGTGGAGGTGAGACAAAATGGAGGCAATAATTCCAATAGTTAGCTAATAGGAGAAATAAACAATATATAGCTAATTGCCAAGAAATGTACTTGTTTATTATCAAAATATTCCTTCATTACACCCAACTCCTGTAGATCCTTTTATCATAGTATCTTGCTTCGTATTTAAAGTTCTTCTCACTGATGACTCTAACTACTTATTCCTATGGAATGTTGCATAGGAGATTTCGTGACTGGTATTACGATGATGAACCAACTGACTCCTGAACTAGCATTCATCTCAGCAATACTGATATCCTTTGTAAGTTTCACTGTGCAAAATACTCAGTGGACTCAGTTCAGAAGATCTCTTTCTAATGAGTTGAATGCATTAAAATCACCACATTGTCATGGCAAAGTAAAAAATAACATATATTTACCCATTGCAACTTTGAAAATAAACAATGTAATCAGAAATAAACTTGTCCATCTGCGAGATTTGCTGACCAGAAGTGCAAAGTTCAATTCAAGTGTATCAGAATGTCTGTGCTTTGTTAAATGCTTAAATATGAAACCAAAGGTTGCAATAATAAGCCGAGAATGTTGATCAAAACTCATTTAGTTTAATTGGCCTGTTGATCAGAAGTGCACAGAGAGCTCAGACAGTGAGATGGTAAATCTAATGCAGATTGACTTCTCTCCCTCAATTGCACCTTCTGCTCAATAGCCATGGAGAGACAAGTTTTACAAAAACACACTCGAAAATGATTCTACCTTCATGAGATTGACTTGTTGGTAATTGCCACAAGAGGAAGGAAAATAAATTTGTTTAAGTCATATTCAATTAAACTAACGTCTAAATTTACTCACATGGACAATGGAGCAAAAACAAAAGAAAGTATCTGACAGTATTTTTACTTGTGCGCTCATATTTGCAATATTGGCTTATTTTACATATTGTTACAACACAGAGACAGACAGCCCAACTAAGTCAGCCTTTCTCCCCCTTTATACACAGCACAGCAAAATCAAGCCCTTCAAAACCCTGAATAGTTATTCAAATGGTTTCTAATCAGATTTTTGAATAACCAATCCCAGACTTTGCATATAATCAATTCAACCCATTCTGTACTCTAAACAAATGACTTAACAATTCATTTAATATACAATAACTTCAGCAGAGAAAAAAATTAAATAACACAGCAATCTAATAAATAATTTATGCTTGAAACCTGAAATATTTGTTTTCAGTCCCCATTCACACAAAAGACAGACAGACAAACAAACACAGTTAAGGGATAAATAGAAGAAAATAACAAAACTGGCCAGATCAGTTAAAAAGCTTTTACAATGCATTGCTTCATGGGTATAGATCTGGACTCTGTGGTTGTTTTTCTGGAGACGTTGATTTAGGTCACATTACAGTTCATACAAGTAAAGGCAGTAATAGTTCTAACTCAACTTTTTACTCTTTGGCCACCTAGAAGCTGAAGGAGGAGATTAGGCAGGGAGCTTTCAAATCTTTATGCGGTGTCACCAGCAGCCAAACCCAGAAAAAAAACAGCTCAAACAAACAACTCTAACTCTGGTTCTAGCCTGACAGACTGACCTGCGTTTCCCTATGCCTCAACTACCATTCAAGGTCTGCCATCCGCTGAACATTGGGTCTCTTCCAGACTCACTAGAACTAACTCCCAGGTACTAACCTTATTAATAAAGAACCTCTGCTATCTGTTTAAACACAACGCTCTTCTCAAAGTCAATGTGCCTGTAGAAAACCTTAAAGTCCGGCCTTACAAACAAATGCTTATTTGGTCTGTTCTTTTCCTTTTACTACAAACTTGTAGTGATTGGAACCGGTTGGATCTCACTTACTACGAGATCTTTGATTGGGGTTGTTAACCTGGCCCGATCAGGAAGCTCTGGCTGACCAATAAATACAAAGGATCTAGAATCTCCTCAGTTCAGGGGACTGACTCTGAGCTGGCTGGCCACAGCCAGTTTAGTGTACACAGTTAAACAAAGGGTGACCTGATGATGGGATACTGGCCTCTGTGCAGTTATTTCATCTTGGCTCATTGTTTTGCAAAGTTTTCCCGAGCATACGCAAACTGCAAATGAGATACAAATTACAGGCTTAAATATTCCATCCTATGCAGGAATTACCTACAGTACTAATAATGCAGTAACCTTTTAGCTTCAAGTCATAAAAGTATAAAATGCTTTTAGTTATCTGGGTATTTGACATGAAGATACCCATCAATTTACTTAAGAGTCTTTAATTCAATCTACACCAAGCAAACACTTGAATAATATAAAATACATACATTCACCACCTAGGAACACATCATTTATTTAAACACAGATATTAATCTAAAGGTAGGTAAAGCCAAAGTTTAGGGCGAATCAATTGTGTGTTGGGAGTTTAACTAGATATAATCAAACAGACTACCAGCAAAGCGCAGGGATTTCTGTTCCTTGCCCAGACAGGATGTATTCCCGTTGGATCAATGTCAAGCAGGTTGATGCCAAAGGAAAAGAAGCTTAATATCCAGTGATAGATCCACTCCTAGAAAGCCCAAGATTGAGCCTTACTGGCTGCTATATGAGGAACATTGCATATCAGTTCACAAAGCCTGTGACAGAATGGCAGAATGTAGGTCAACTTGAAGCCAACTTGACCCTAAAGATCCAGATTACATCTTGACTGTTCTAGCTTCTACATTACAAAAGATAATACAACAATAAATGCAGCATCAAATTACCTACAAAATTTTTTTTTTGTTTAAATGTAGCAGAGGGGAATCTTCCCACTCTTTCAAACTCGAAAGACTTTGAAACTTCGAAAATATTGTCCCATATAAACTTATCCATTTGTTTTTTTTCCCCTGACGCCACACACAAATCCCAATCATATGTGGTCCCAAAGTACTGCCTGATGTTTGTTGCTAGCCAATAGAACACGTTAATGTGCAAAAGTCATCTCCAAACTCTTTAATATTTTCTTCCGTTGAGAATTTGTTTTGTAGGTGTTTCGCATACCACAACATAAAATATGTACCTTAAATTGTCTTTATTTTTGATGGTTATAAACTGCTGTGCTTCTGAAGAATATCTTTTCTTATTGTTAATTGTTAACTTGAAGACAAACTGATCAATCTCAGTTTTCAATGCAGACATTGTGACATTGACCATACTGGCTGTTGTGTTCAGTGGATCTGGCGCATCAGGTTTGAAGCAAGGGACATTTAGACCACTCACTGTTTCACAAGCCCAGGAAAATCTGTGAATTGATTAAGAAAAGCGGAATAAATTGGGGCATTTAAATATAGAATAGCTGAGATTATAATTTACTAATGATTTGGCCACTAGGAAACATGGCAAAAATAATTCAATTTTTTTCAGTATATAGTCATCGCAAAATCAGAGTACAGAAGAGATCCATAGGGTCATCAAGTCTGCACCAACTAAACTATTCTAAATCTACACAAATCCTACCTTCCAATATTGGCAGATGGCCTTGAATGTTATGACATTTCAAGTGTTCATCCAAGTATTTTTTAAAGATTGTGGGGTTTCCCAGCTCAACTATCCTCTCAGGAGGTGTTTTCCAGATCCCCACCACCATCTGGGTCAAAAACCCTTTCCTCAAATCTCCTCTAAACCTCCTGCCTTTCACGTTGACATTATGCCCCCTCGTTATTGACCCTTCAATTCTGTGGAACAGCTGATTCTATCCACCCTGTCCATTCCCCTCAATAAGATTCCTCTCAGCCTCTATGTTGTAAAGAAAACAACCTGAGCTAATCCAATATCAGAATCCCCTTCCCCTCCCCCATTTCTGAAGAAGATTCTCGACCCGAAACGTCAGCCTTCCTGCTCCTCTGATGCTGCTTGGCCTGCTGTGTTCATCCAGTTCTACACCTTGTTGTCTGAGCTAATCCAGCCTCTTTTCATAGGTAAACCACTCCATCCCAGGGAATATCCTGGTGAATCTCTTCTGCACCCCCTCCAATACAATCACATCCTTCTTAAAGTGTAGTGACCAGAACGACACACAGTAATCAGCTGTGGTATAACCAAAGTTCTGTACAGCTCCAACATGACCTCCCTGCTCTTATAAACTATGCCACAACCTGATAAAGACAAGTGTCCTCTATGCCTTCTTAATGACCTTATTAATCTATCCTGTCACCTTCAGGGATCAGTGGACAAGCAACTCAATATCCCTCTGTTCCTCTGAACTTCTTAGTGTCCAATCATTCATTTAGTATTCTCTTGTCTTGATCCTTCTTCCAAAGTGAATCACATCACACTTAGCAGGGCTTACTTCCATCTGCCACTGATCTGTCCCTCTGACCAATCTGTCTATATTCTCCGGTAACTTCAGGTCTTCTTCCTCACTGTCAACCATCCGGCCAATCGTCGTGCCATCTGAAAACTGACTTATCATTCACTCCATATTTTTCTCTATATCATTTATATATATCATGGACAATAAGAGACCCGGCACTGACACCAGCCTCGAGTGACAGAGACAGATTTCTACCACCACCCTCTGTCTCCTAACACAAAGCCAACTTCGGATCCAACTTTTCTGAAGAAGGGTCTAGGCCCAAAATGTCAGCCTTCTTGCTCCTCTGATGCTGCTTGGCCTGCTGTGTTCATCCAGCTCTACACCTTGTTATCTTTGGATCCAACTTGCCAGGTTACCCAGAGTCCCATGTGCTTTTACCTTCTTTATTAGTCCTCTCCATGGGACCTTGTCAAAGGCTTTGCTGACATCTACATAAACTGATACCACTGATAAATACCACTGGTGTGCGGCTCACTGGTCTATCTCTACCACCCTTCTTGAAAAGTGGAACCACATTAGCTGGCCTCCAGTCCTTTGGCACCTCCCCTATGGTCAGACAGAAATTAAAAATTTGGGTCAGAGTCTCTGTTATTTCCTTCCTTGTCTCTCACAGCAGCCTAGGATACTACTCATCTAGACCTGGAGATCTGTCCACTTCTAAGCCTGCCAAAACTCCAGTACCTCCTCACTCCATATGTCAAACTGCTCAAAGAACTTCAGAGTTCCTCTTTCTGAATTCTGTATGTGCATCCTCCTTCTCCAAAGTGCAGGCAGATGTCAAAGTACTTGCTTAACACCGTACCAATGTCCTCTGGCTTTAGGTAAAGATTGACCACTTGGTCCCTAATGGGCATGACTTTTTCCAATGGCTCTCCCTAATCTTGCCAACTGGCATTTTCTCAGGCCCCTCTTTGCTCTCAAAATTACTTACTTAAGATCTCCCCCAATCCCTTGCACAATGTATGCTCCCACTTGGGCCTCCTTTGATTTACTCCTTCTGTAACTGTTATGCATTTCTCACGAGCCCTTGTGGGGAGAGCCCAGCATTGAGCTTCTACAGGCACATGGCTAAAGGAGGGCTGTATTGCTGAAGCTTTAACTTCATTTCTTCATTTTTCTACTTTGTACCTAAGATTTTGTACCTAGGTACATTTATATCTATGATGGCACTGGGAATGACAACTTTGTACATTTTTCACTGTACTGCTGTGTTCTGTACTTGAGGACACATGACAATAAAATCTAATTCTAATTCTAATTCTTTTTCTTCTTATCCAATCTGCAATATTCCTAGACATCTAGGGTTCTCTGGGCTTGTTGCTCCTACATTTCACGCTGAAGAGAACATGTTGGGGCCTGTACTTTCACCAAATCCATTTTGAATGCCCCCCCCCACCCCATTCTGCTGTAGATTTGCCCAGAAAAGGCTGTTCTCTGACTATTTTGACCAGATCCTGCAATATTTTAATAAACCTGCCTTTCCTTAGTCCAAAACCCTCCTTTGCAGACTCTTTTTCCTTTTCCATAACAATGTAAAATGTACAGTATGGTGGTCACCGTCACTAAAATGCTCTTTCCACACCATCTTTGTTTTCATTCCCCAGAAAAAAAATTAGGTTCAGCACTGCACTGTCCCTTGTTGGACATTCTTCATAGTGATATAAAAAGGTCTGCTGAATACATTTCAAGAAATCTGTCCCCTCTAAACCCTTTACACTATGACTGTCCCAACTAATGTTGGCAAAGTGGAAATTCCCTAAAATAATTATCCTCTTCTTCTTTCTACACATCTCAGTCAATTGTCCATATCTGCTCCTCTCTTGCCTGCTGACTGTTTGGGAGTCTATAATGTATCCCATCAGTGTGACTGCCCTCTTCTTATTCCTAAGCTCTACCACAAAGCCTCATTTGAAGACACCAGCTCCCAAAGTTTTTAATGTGAGATCTTATTCCTCTGTTCACCTCTATGATTGGTACCTATGTGTACCATGAAATTGTGCCTCAAACTAAACAGTTTATTAGAGTTTTGTTCCTCCACCTAATTTACTGATAATGAGTCTAAATTTCCTTTTACATTTTCTAACAACTATGAAAAAGGATGAAATTTATTTCAGTTTAGTTTCACCTTGATAAAAATTGCTTAAGTGTGTTTAATCTTATGCAATGCAAGAAAATAAGATCTTTAAAATAACTCTTAACTTCTCTAAAATTTTAATAAAATTTGAAAAGCTATCAGTAAGTATTTACAGCTTTTATTTCTGTTTTAAAGGAACTGAATCATTTGAATATCTTCCTGTCTCTACAACTGACTACGTTTTCTGTCATATTCTACATAGATAATGCAAAGCAATATTGTGAGAGTGATCTAACACAGCGCAGTTAAACAAATTCAACTTCCAATTCAGATTGGAAAAGGAACCAATATGTCTCTTGATAAAGAGAAGTTCTAACATTAACATTTCTTTCCACTGACATAACATATCACAATGGATCTGTGATGTTGAACCTGTCACTTGTCACCTTCAATTTTCAGCTATCCTTCGGCCAAGTGCCTCATATCTTCACATTGGTACCTGTGGTAGCTCTCACAGGACAATTTGCTCACTGGGACTGTCTTCGCTAAACTGCTGCCTTTTGTCATTCAAATGTTCAATCTATTGTCACCCATGTCATCCACGCAGGCCTACCCACCACAATGTTCTCTATGCACCCATGCTAAAAATCAACTTAATTCACTCAACTCCTAAATGCCTGTCCTACACCGTTTAAGAAACCTTAGTGCCATACATCTGTTAAATCACCAATTTTAACATCTTGATTCTTATTGTACCACTTACTGTCTTCCACCTCCACAACCGCCCAACTTCACCCCTCAAGTTAGCAAGATGCAAACTTGAGTGTTTCTAGTGCATTTCTAATTTAGTTACTCATCATCAGACATATTTTCTAATCAACCCGTTCAGCAATATATTACACACCACTGGAGCAGGTGGGATTTGAACTTGGGACTCCTAGCTCAGAGGTAGGGACACTCATTCATCACCAGTTGAGTTCTCCTATATCAGAATCATTTGCTTACACTGGCTGAACCAAGCCAGGGTAAATTTTGTCATCTTATGTTGCTTAGAGTTAAGTTTAAAATTCCACATGCTATGCATCATCAAAATCATCCAGTTAACCATCATAACATTGTCCATTGCAGCTTCCCTAAACTGAAGCCCTCAATGATTTGACAATCACCTCTTGCCTTGATTTCACCAATTTCCTTCACAAGGATGCCCATTTTCCACCTTACAGATGGCCCAGAACTAAACTGCTGTATTCTAATTCTCACCATGACCTACGTCTATTATTATCTGCCCACCATCCTCACCATCTTATATTAGCTTTTAATCCTCTAATGCAGTAAGGTGAAATACTTGCCTTTCTTTTTTAATTCCCTCTGCATCATTGAGCCCAATCTACTGTTCAAACCTCCTCCAGTACATATCTCTTTCCTCAACCATCATTTTCCAACTCTTAAATCCTCTTGTCTTAACCCTCACTATTGTGTTTCAGATCTTCAACTGACTTGGTCCTATACTATAACACTTCTCCTGTCCTTTTTGACTACTTGTTTTTTACCTCCCAAATCCACATTTTTGTTTCAGTCATGTTCTTGACCTTTCCTTCCAAGGCTTGATGAAATTCCTTTATCTATTCCTATTGTTTTTTCCAACACTGCAGTAAGGATCTTAGGATCATTTTCGGTGTTGTTATATAAATGCAGGGTCTTGCTGATTCCCTGTTAAGTTGAATCACAAATCAAATTTCCACTATGACTCACCTGAGGTCTGCAGTGCCTGGATAATCTGGATCATATGATTCTGATCCATTCAAACTTATGATGGAGTCATGATTATAGGTCATGAAGAGCTGTGTACCACCTGAAATGAGACTCACTGGTGGGGTAGCAAGGATTTCAACATTTACAGTATAGTTGTTATAAACCACACTGCCAACAATTTGAACCTGCATCAGAAAAGTAATTCAAGATGACTGAAAATGGACAATTGCATGACAGACTACTACCCATTCAAGATATTTTACAAAATGATTTAAAGTTCTCAAATAAATTTTCCTTCTTCCCTCACAGTAATAAATGCCAGACAGGCAATAGAAATATGAAAAAAAAATTGTTAAATTCTTCCAGTAATTTTACACAGTTCTGTCATAATTTCAGTAAACTTTAACTTAAAAATAAGTTATATCTCCACCTTATCATGCATCATTCACATTCCTGGATTTAAGTACATAAACCAGGCTGACAATTCAGATAAGGCTGTGAAGGAGTGCACTTGATATGAAGATCTTTAAATTGGGCCATTGAACAATTTCAATCAAATGGTACAAGAGTGGTTCAGGACACTATTAAAGATCCAATGGCATAATTTCAAAGAGAAGCACCAAGGACACTTGCTGTTCAATAGTGTTCCAGAAATATGTGCACAACAGCTTGAACTTTCACCTAAATAAAAAGAATTGCCAAACTTCGAAGTATTTATCTTGTATGATATTCTTGGGCTTCTCTGAAACACACAAGGAGAGGCAGTAACATAGTAGTATGTTATCAGGCCAGCAATTCAGAGGCCTAGGCAAATACCCTGGCCACATGGGTTCAAATCATATCATGGCAGCTGATCGAATTTCGATGAAGAAACAACATTATTCTTCCCCATTTAGTCTCAAGCATTTTAAAGCAAATCCTATACAATTAGATGCACTTTTAGTGGAACGAATGCAGATTGCACTATCAGACTAAGTTCTTACCCGGGCAATTGCAAGGTAGTTTCCATAATCCAATAGATAGCCTGGAATGAGTATAAACTGTTTATTAACATCAACCTGTGATAATGTGGCCAGCGAACCATCTGATTGAAAGAAGGACCAGCTGTACTGAATACCTCTGGAGATGTTACAGACAAACTTGCTCTCAAATGTAACTCCAAGCTTGAGGGTCTGATATCTTCTAACCTGCATTAAAAGAATTGACCTTATTCTTGCAACATGGCAGAGATTTACAATCAGTTGACAAGTCTATTACCATATTTATATTTTATAGTACATTAGGAGCCACACAGATATCATGACATTATTTTCTTTTTGGAAGAGTGGGCTTCAAGTTCCCCACGTCCCATTTCTCTTACCTCCATCTCCAAATCCCTCAGACATTAGTGTTTCTAATAATTGTGGCCTGTTCATCAGATGTGAATCACTCCCCCAGTGGTGGCCATACCTTTAGCTGTCTAGGCAGTGTCCTCAGGAAATCCTTCCCTAAGTTTTCAATTTTCTACTTTGACTTAAAGAAGAAAAACTCTCTTTTAAACACATCTTTTGTCCAAGCTTTAGGACATCTGCCAAAAATTAAGTTTTATGATGCAGTGTAAAATTTGTTAGATAATGTGCCCGCATCGTATCTGGTGAAATTTTCCTCTGTTAAAGACAGTCTTTAAATACAAGTTGTTATAACTGCAACAACTGTTGACCACCCCGCCTCATGCAGCTGATCTGCCATTCACTAAAATCATGATTCATCTTCCATCTCAACTCCAATTTTTCCATCCTATTCACTTTTCATTTGATGCTTTAAATGTCCAAGATCTATCACTCTCACTCTTCAACACACTCAACTTAGCACACAAAGCCTTTTGAATTAATAATTCCAAACATTCACAACACCTTGAAATGAAATGTATTCTCATCTCAATGCTAAATGGTCAACCTCTTATCCTTAGACAATGACCCCATTTCTACTCACTCCAGCTATTTACTTCTTCCATACTATCTATGTAAATGAAAGCTGTCTTTTAAAATTTAATTAACATTTATATAGAACCTTTAGCATGACCAAATGACACACATCACTTCACAACCACCTACTCTTACAAATTTGGTCCCTGTATGTATCTTCACCCCTGTAAACTAAGCATTTCTTGTTGCATTCTCTCAAATTACCATCCAACAGATCACTGCCCTTAACATGAGGAACATGTTGAGAAGACCAATCCAGATTTAAGAGTCAAGTGCTGATCCATCCCATCTTCTCCCAAATCCAAAAGGAAGGCAACCATATTGTCTCAACACATCCACTTGGATACAAATCAAAGCATAGTGAGCCACTGCAACATCCACTGTTAAGATCAAGTTAAACTGATATGAGGAATTTTGTTTTCACCCAGATGGGCGTGGGAATCTGGAATTCACCATCTGCAAGGGTGGTAGAGGCAGAAATCCTAATAACAGTTGAGAACTATGTCAATGTGCACTTGAAACGCCAAGGCATACAAGGATGTAGGCCAAGTGCTAGAAAATGGGATTAGAATTGTTAGTGGCTTCTCTTTGACCAGCACAAACATGATGGGCTGAAGGGCCTTTTCTGTGTTGTAGACCTTTATGAATTTGTTACTTTCTCTTGCCTCTGTCCTGCCATTTTCTCCTTGTCTTCCCCCTCTTCTCCATTCCCTTTACCCTCCCTGTCGCACCTAACTAACTATTCCGTCTACTTCGTGCCTTCACTGTTCTCCTTTCAAATCCTCATGCACTCCAACCTGCTTCACCTGAATATTGCACTTGATTGCATATGTCTAATGTGACAGGAGAAGAATATTTTTAAAATTTAGCATGTTCAATGTTTTGTTATAGTTCGTAGTTTATGATGATGTTATTTCAACTCTGAGTTCCTTGTGATGAAGTGATAACTCACTGTACCTCTATTTTTGATGGACCATAGCTTTTCACTGGAGGTGGTTGGCAATTTTCAGAAATAACAAAAAGCTGGCCAGTGAGTGAGGCAGAGCTCACATTGTTAGAGATGATTACTTGAACTGTATATTCTCCTTCTCTGCCAAAAAAAAGTCATACATACAAGATTTCAGTCATGAAAAAATATATCCTTCACTTCCAAAACCTGTATGTGATGGAAAATAGTGAAATTACTTTCAAAGAAGATGTTTTAAAATTGTGTTGACTGTGTGATGCAATTCATCAGTAACTCTTTATTAATCAATTACAGGACTCATATTTTCAAATGTGACATTATTAGATTCAGGGAGCAAACAGCCTAGTGGTATCATTGCTGGGCTATTAATCCAGAGACCCAGGTAATGTTCTCGGGACCTCAGTTCAAATCCTGCTATGGCAGATGGTAGAAGCTGAATTCAATAAAAATCTGGAATTAAGAGTTTAATGATGACCACAAAACCATTGTCGCTTGTTGGGAAAAACTCATCTGGTTCACTAATGGCCTTTAGGGAATGAAATCGCCATCCTTATCTGGTCTGGCCGACATGTGACTCCAGACCCACAGCAATGCAGTTGACCCTTAACTGCCCTCTGGGCAATTAGAGATGGGCAATAAATGCTGGCCTGGCCAGTGATGCCCTCATCCCATGAATGAATAAAAAAATGTACTAGTTTAGTAATACAGAACCTGCGTTTTGTTGAAAAAGATACATTTTGTCAAAACTTTTCATCTTGCACTCATCAGGAAAATTCACAAGAAGTATCAATCTAAAGGGAAAACAACATTTATACTGTGCGACGGGAGAGTGCTAACTGTTTGGAAAGTGGACTTTTGCGAGACATTGCTATTGAGAATGCACCAGTTACAAGGTGACTGATAATTAACCGTCAAACTTTGTTTAAATTTTAAACTAAGCAGGTCAACTCTCCTTGATCGAGGAATTGCACTGAGAAATTAACCAAAGAATGGGAGTTACCACATTGAGCTGAAACAAAGACAGTGCATGGACATGTCCGTTCAGTCTGCGAAGAACAGGGCCCTGTGAATTAATATATGCAGCTTCCAGTATACTCAAGTGCACCACTTTCCAAGCCCACTGACATTTTCCAATTGGTTGCTCGTGCAATTATTCACTTACATAGGATTATTGCTCAAAAGTTGTGCAATCACGGAATCACATCTAATGTTGATCACTGTGTTTTGAATTATGCAAGCACAGGATGGTAGGGAACAGATAATATCTTGGTTGTTGCAAACCAAGGGTTTGAATCCCTTGTTTAATATGACTCAACAAACTCAATAAAATGGCTATTAACCGTCAGTCGCCATCAACCTGTTGCAATTTCCTTGGCAACTATACCAATCAAAGTTCATTTTCCAACCAAACAGCAGTCTCCTTTCATACATAGAAGTAGCCTATTTGTATTCTGGTTAATTGTCCTGATGAGTTCAAGAAAAATAAACTTTAAAAAAAGTCATTTTCAGCTTTGTTGGACATGATTTATTTTTCTAAAAGCACTGAAGAGCAAAGTAAATCACCTTTGTCACATTAACACCAAACATTTCCTAAACCCCAGCATTACTTAGACCTCTAAAATGTTAGTCAAATGTTTGAGAGCATGTTCAGAAATGGCTATGTGAAGATCAACAATGTGACAGTGCTTCACTTTGCTCCAATCTTTATTTAAGAAACAATACAGATAAAATTAAGATTTTTTTTCTTTATGGGATGAGGACATTGCTGGCTAGGCTGCATTTATTGTCCATCCCTAATTGCTCAGAGGTCAGTTAAGAGTCAACCACATTGCTGTGGGTCTGGAGTCACATTTAGGCCTGACCAGGTAAGTATGGCAGTTTCCTTCCTTAAGGGACATTAGTGAACCAGATGGGTATTTCCAACAATTGACAATGGATTCACAGTCATCAATAGACTCTTAATTCCAGATATTTATTGAATTCAAGTGCACCACCTGCCATGGCAGGATTCAAACCCGGGTCCCCAGAACATTGTTTGGGTTTCTGGATTAACCATCCAGTGATAATACCACTAGGCCATCGCCTCCCCCCATAAGATAATCACACAGCTCAGAGAATCAACTTTGTACGATTGAGTTATTTTTCAATAATTAATATTTTATTAATTAAAAACTTGATGATGTTACTGAATGGAGAAATTTCCCTTTGGCACTCATCTGCAACATTTTCAGTGACACCAATTCTACAGAAAATCTTTTCTTGTTAATGGCACTTCCCTGTCCCTGCCATTTAAATTGAACAATTTTACTGCTGGCACATTTGTTCGCATGCACTTGCAGAAAATAGCCAATGCTGTCCTGTAAGTGATCTGGCTATTTAATATTAATACTCTTTTTTCATGTAGATTTATGTGCGTTCTAGGTTACTGTCCAAGCAGCCGATCTTCACATGCCAGCCAATACAAGCCATTTGACACCAAGGGTGGCTGGTGGGAGGGCATTACAAGTTGAAGCCTACATTCATCATGTTCATCTTCACTCACACATGTTCAAGGAATCACCAGCATGGAGTTTATGAGCAGGAACATGAAATTCACTATTATGATTGAATTAAAATCACCTTGGCAAACAAGGTTTTGGATAACCAGTGCTCGAGCTATTGCTTTTATGAGGTGATCCAACACATTTTAAATTACAATACGCGAGCATATATAATATGATTTCCTTAAATACTTGACAAAATACAGAGAAAATAAAGTTCTATTCTTTTAAAATCAGCACCACACAATCCTCATTTGCCAAAATATCTTTTTACCAATCCAGCTTACAGATTTTAACTGAATGGCAGCATCCGCATACCTATCGTAACTGTGAAACTCTTTCCTGTTCCCAATCATCACAGTGCCATCACCAAAATTCCACAAGTATGTGAGATTGGTTCCATAGTTAATGCGCACTTCCATAGTAACACTGGAGTTTAAGAGAACTGAAATAAGATCTTGGTTGTTCATTCGAAGCCTGTTCGGTTCAACTATCTGCTGTAGCTCAATGGGGTAGATGTTTGATGTGAAAGAACTAATCTGATTTGAAGCATTTACTACCACATTATACCTGCAAAACACAAACAGTGACAGTTACATTTATTAAAACCACGTAGTAACAAGTGTGCCTGAAAACTACTGTTCAATGGTGTCTAATGTGTGTTTATTTGTTTGAATTAGTTATATTGTCAAAGTCAATGTCTAATCAGGGTCCTTTTCTCCATCCATCCGCTATATCGTCCACCTGCACAACCATGAAGGGCTCTTTTTGTTCGCACCTTCCAACCCCACAAACATTCAAATTCATCTTCTGTCACTTACATTACCGTGCAATTAACAAACACATTTGTCCTTTCTGTCAGCCTTTAGAATTCTGAAGGTACCATTCTGTTTGTGATACCCTGGTCTACTCTTCAATCAACCCCAACACTGCCTTCCCTTGACAAGGGCATCTTCCCATGGCAAATGCTTATCCTTTTACCTTCTCCCTTTCCATCACACAGAGACCCAAACTCACTTTCCAGGCAAAACATCGATTTACCTGCCCTTTATTCAAAACTACTAATGATGTGGTTAGCTCCATGTTAAACAGATCAAACTTCAATCTGGAGATCACTTTAGGAAACACCTCTGCTCAGTCTGCAAACATCTTACTTTAATATTCCATTCCACTCACACTAATGTCTCTCTCCTTGGTCCACTACACTGTTCTAATGAAGATCAATGAAACACATGGAACAGAGATAGTAGGAACTGCAGATGCTGGAGAATCCGAGACAACAAGGTGCAGGGCTGGATGAACACAGCAGGCCAAGCAGCA